ATGTAGTAATTCTTTATTAAATGGTTGATACATTCGTTTTTGTAGTGTGTGTTTGTATTTTCAAAAGAAATATGTTGCATGTTATATTGACGGAAAAAAAACGACACAAATCTTTTGACCCATACATACACTATATTGCCAAAAGTATTTGCTCACCCATCCAAATTATTGGAATCAGGTGTTCCAATCACTTCCATGGCCACAGGTGTATAAATTCAAGCACCTAGGCATGCAGACTGTTTTTACAAACATTTGTGAAAGAATGGGTCGCTCTCAGGAGCTCAGTGAATTCCAGCGTGGAACTGTGATAGGATGCCACCTGTGCAACAAATCCAGTCGTGAAATTTCCTCGCTCCTAAATATTCCACAGTCAACTGTCAGCTGTATTATAAGAAAATGGAAGTGTTTGGGAACGACAGCAACTCAGCCACGAAGTGGTAGGCCACGTAAACTGACGGAGCGGGGTCAGCGGATGCTGACGCGCATAGTGCGAAGAGGTCGCCAACTTTCTGCAGAGTCAATCACTACAGACCTCCAAACTTCATGTGGCCTTCAGATTAGCTCAAGAACAGTGCGCAGAGAGCTTCATGGAATGGGTTTCCATGGTCGAGCAGCTGCATCCAAGCCATACATCACCAAGTGCAATGCAAAGCGTCGGATGCGGTGGTGTAAAGCACGCCGCCACTGGACTCTAGAGCAGTGGAGACGCGTTCTCTGGAGTGACGAATCGCGCTTCTCCATCTGGCAATCTGATGGACGGGTCTGGGTTTGGCGGTTGCCAGGAGAACGGTACTTGTCTGACTGCATTGTGCCAAGTGTAAAGTTTGGTGGAGGGGGGATTATGGTGTGAGGTTGTTTTTCAGGAGCTGGGCTTGGCCCCTTAGTTCCAGTGAAAGGAACTCTGAATGCTTCAGCATACCAAGACATTTTGGACAATTCCATGCTCCCAACTTTGTGGGAACAGTTTGGAGCTGGCCCCTTCCTCTTCCAACATGACTGTGCACCAGTGCACAAAGCAAGGTCCATAAAGACATGGATGACAGAGTCTGGTGTGGATGAACTTGACTGGCCTGCACAGAGTCCTGACCTCAACCCGATAGAACACCTTTGGGATGAATTAGAGCGGAGACTGAGAGCCAGGCCTTCTCGTCCAACATCAGTGTGCGACCTCACAAATGCGCTTCTGGAAGAATGGTCAAAAATTCCCATAAACACACTCCTAAACCTTGTGGACAGCCTTCCCAGAAGAGTTGAAGCTGTTCTAGCTGCAAAGGGTGGACCGACGTCATATTGAACCCTATGGATTAGGAACGGGATGTCACTTAAGCTCATATGTGAGTCAAGGCAGGTGAGCAAATACTTTTGGCAATATAGTGTATATATACGAGTAAAATTCCTGTGTTGTTTTTTTTATCAATGTAACATACAAAATATTTCTGCACATGAGATATATATATATATATATATATATATATATATATATATATATATATATATATATATATATATATATATATATATATATATATATATATATATATATATATATATATATGATGGAATATATATGATATTGATGGAAAAAAAGCTACTTTTTAAAATGCTAATGCACAGACAGTATAAATGTATAAGCCATCATTCACGCACAATTTGCAAATAGAAAAATACTATAGCATTAACAGACATGTACTACTAATTCAATCTTGATGTAAAATCTTGAAATCATGTTATTTGTAATTACTGTAACAATGTCATCAATACATATATATTACATGAACATCATCAGTTTAGCACTTTTAGCGCATTAGTATTATTGTGCTCCATTAACAAGTTAATTTTATTGTGATGGATTTGTATAATATGTTATATTACATGATTTATAGACATCACTGACTTATACTTATATACTTATAATGATGCAATGTGATGAGCCTATTTTTTTTTATTATAAGTTAAAGTGATGTACTGATGCTATGAAACAGCCAGTGTGAGTCAAAGTGATTAATTTATCTTTAACTCTTAAGTCTCTCTGAGAATGAGAACATAGTTTTTCCGATGCTGTAGCGCGCATATTGTTTGCATTGCAACCAGTCTAATTAGGGAGTACCAATATGGCGGCTGGTGGCTTCACTTCAACCCCGTACTACCAACAGGCAATCAGTAATCTGGTGAATAAATAGAGATCAGTGATCAGCTGTGGTGAAACAGGCGCTCAGTGTGAATTAATTCAAAGGAACATTTTTTTAGCAACAAGCATCATCCTGTTAAATAACTTGTAGATGTTTCTAACAGCCGCTGCGACTCATTGACAGTCAGTGTGTTTCCATTCAACAGAAACAGAAAATGTGTCGTTCTGACTCTCAAAATGAGCAGGCGGGTTAAAAATAAACTTTTTTTTAATGAGACCCGGCTGTTCGTCTCCTAACAGAAGCTGTTCTCTTCATCAGAGGCTGAACTCTCTGTTTTTAGCCTCCATCCTCTGAATCATTTACATCTTTCTCCTTCAGGAAAATAAACACATGCCAAGTTGCTCAGTTTATTTTCAGATTTTCTCATGAATTGACGTGAATCAGCTTCATTGGTTTGACTTAGCTGAGTTTGTTTTCATCAAACCAGAGGAGTAAAATCAAATGTTTTATCTTTAAATGTCTTTTTTTTTACTTTTGATCTGATATAACAACAAACGGCAAGTAAATAAGCATTAAAAATGTCTCATTTTTGCTTAATAAACAGACTGTTATATCTATAGTTCATAAACACCTAGAAATAACAATGATACACTCCTTTTAGATATATTTTATTTAATCATATATATTTAGATTTAAGATTTAGAAAAAAGGAAAGAAATACAAGAAACTTTAAATTGTTTTGCTATTTTTTTTTTTACATTTGATGCCCCATAATCCCTTAAATCTTTTAGAAAAAGAAAGTTGAAGCTTGTCTAATATTTACTTCAGGAAATCTGGAAAACTCGATAAAAAGAGGAAACATACAAACTGATAAAGAAAGGAGAAAAATAAACTTTTGGGATCTTCCTTCACTACTGTTCCCATAGTGAGGTTTATAGATGGATCCATCATGCTGTGGGCTGTGACACTGGCAGAAACCATTTAGTTAAAGGAAAAGTCGGTTAAATTCAGAATTCAAACTTCTGAAGGTACTTTAAATATGAAATTATTACATACTGTTCAATAAATGATCAGTGTTTTTAATTCAGAGTAATTTTCATGTGAATGTGCTTTACTGGAGGCATCCATGTTTGTCAAAGAACACTACTGCCACCTACTGGTTTGTGACGTCACGGTGCGGTATCGGCTGTTGATCAAGTCCCAGTGCTGTATCTGGTGTTTGTGACAACCCGCTATTATCCCAGTCATCTTGAAAACATTCTTCTTCCAAATGTTGGCTACATGTTACGTGTTTTTTCTCTGGCCAGAAGTTCGATGGCAAATCCTCCCTCTTCAAGTTGGCGATCCAACGACCAACCCGTCCGTGGAGGATCAGGAATCAGAAAGCTGAAATTACTCAATGTTTTTCACTTTAACCAGATGTATTCCAGCATCCAGCTGCCATGCATGTGGGCATCTTCAGTTTCACTATAGCTCTGGTGAATTTCAATGGTGAAGTCCTCTGGAAATCTTCAATAATTGTTGTTGAAGTTCAGTTTAATATAATCCAGTCTGTAAATAGTTCCGTCTGAAATGAATGAAAATAGTTGTTTTAATGGACATTTTTACAGTAATGGATATTTGAAAATAGCAGCAACATCAGAGATGTGCAGAATGACAGCAGCAGGTTATTTAACTGACTAAGGTTTCTATCATTACATATGATTTGATTTGTTCCTGCTCCCGGTGGTTGGAACATTTATTACACTCTGGATTCTTGCGAGTGTAGTCTTTGTTCACTTCACAATAAAAAAAAAAAAAATTGTTTTAAATAAAAAGAAAGTTTTGAAAAGTTCAATATTCATCTTATCCTGCTTTGTGTGTCAACTGTCACGATTGCTAAGCGACAGAGCATATGGCGGTAATAGCCATCGAAGGGTAGACCTGTTTGAATCCACAGCCAAAACTCTTCCGGTCTCCTTATTTTCAAGGACTTCAAAGGATCGATTCCAGGTAGACTGAGTCCTTGAAGAATGCAGACCATGAATTTGAACACAGCCTTTGTTCTGTTTGGCATATATACTCCTCCTCTTCAGTTACTGTTAGCTGGTTTCTCCTTGTTTCTTTGCTCCTCCTGATGTCTTTTGGTTTTCTGTATTTTCTTTGGATGTCTGATACCTTTAGAACTGCATTAAATGAGCAAAAACTCATCTCTGCCTCCTTCATCCTCTGCATTTAGGTCCTCCAAAACCTCCACACAACCTAACACTCCTTATATCTGCACCTGCATCAGGTTGTTGAAACAGTTTAAAGGAATAGTACACCCAAAACATGATTAGCCTTCATTTTCTACTCACCTCCATGCTGAACAACACTCTGGAGTACTTTTTTGATATCTCAAATGCATCTGGAGATCTGGGAGGCAGGGAGGGAATATATTAAAAAAAAAGTCTAATCAACCAAAACTTTTGCGACCCCCATGCAGTACCTCTGCTGATCCCCTAGGGGTCGCGGACCCTTTGTAAAATGTTTTCATTCTCTCAAAATATTTAGAGGTTTTTACTGAAAAATAATGTGTCTTAGAAATCGACACAACAATAACATAAAATTTAATTTCTTAAAATAATTTCTAAATCCTGTCCGTACTATCAGTCAATAATTCATTATTTTTTGCAAAAATATTTAAAAAAATAATTATAATTTATGAACGGATTTTTATCAGTTGCTACAAACATGAAAATAAATAACAAAATAACAGCAATAATATATTATTAATAATTGTAAAAACATGAACAGTATTTAAATGAAAGCAGCAGTAACCTTTGACCTATATATATATTTTAAAAAAAAGGTGATTTATCAGCAGTGACACGTCACGCGGCTCCTACGTCAGCAGCAGCAGCAGCAAGCGGAGGCTGCTGGCTGGAACTGGGCGCGCGGGGCGGTGGTGCATCCGGTCCCGCTTCGATCCATCCTGCAGCTCTGAAAGCCGCCGCCGGTACCGGACGGTCCAGACAGGATCCGAACAGGAAACCATGGCAACGGTCTTCATGGAGACGGTGCTGAGGAGGGCGTGACGCAGCGGATGATCGATGATCAGAGGTATGAGGCTGCTGACAGCTGATCAGTTTATAACTTTAGCATCAATGAATGGGATCCAGTTACAGTCACTTTGATTAAATCAATCAATCACTGATCAGGTCTATTCAACTGGAAAAAATCTACAATTATTTAAGCTTCATTTTGGTTAAATTCCTATAAATTACTAGAATATTTATTTCTAATGTAAAGAACGGTTATTATTCTAAGTCTATTTTATTTTAATCACATTTAACAGTAGTTTTAATTTGTCTGATTTTCATTTTATGTGACATAAACAGACAGTATAAAGATGAACACTAAGGGCCCAGTTGGACCCTTATAGGTCAGGTTGGACATGCTTTGGGTGGTGATGGATGTGGATCTGATCTGATCCCTGCTTTAGAGGCTGATAACATCTCCACACGTGCATCAGGAGGAGAATTCCTCACAGCCCGTCTCGCCTCAGATCTCTGGGAAATATCTCCACGTTGTGCAAATTCATGATTAAACCAGCAAAACTGTTGCAAATTAAACTCCATCAGGAGCTGAAATGGTTTAGGGATCTTCACTGTTGGATGCTCCTGCTACTGCCTGATGAAAAACACTGTCATGGTGGCTCCATTTAGACCCGCTGCCTGTTAATCTGCTTTCACACTCATCTCTGGTCTGTAGAGAGGAGTTAAAAACACTGTTTTCCATTTCTGAATCGATTCTTAAATTAATTCCTAAAGATTGATTCTTAGCCAAAAATCTATTTAAAAAATTTTTATTTTTCACTGTTCTTACAGTCACCGTTAACGACCATTATTGTTTTAATGTGCTGTTGAATGGTAATATAATACTAGTATAAATATGTTGCAGCAAATTGAGAGCGGACCAAATCTGATCGATAGAGAAAAATCCACTACTTTTTCATCCACTAGAGGAGAGGTCACGGATCCGGACCCAAACTGATTTAAAACATTTATAAATTACTGCATGTTGTCTGACGACAGTTTCTAATTTTACTTGCGCCTCTTCTCCTGTTACGGGGAAGCGCCCCGGAGCGTTAAGCACCAGGCTACACGTGATCCAATGAGCTGCTGTCAGTCTGGGTTGCTGCTGCTGCTACTTTTAGACACAGCAGGCAAACCTGTGGCAAGCCGGGCGATGGGAAAGAAGGAGAAGACGATGAGAAAAAGAGAGCAGAGAAAGTGTGGACTGCTGGAAGAACTGTGATGAACTGGGGAACGAAAAGTTGATGCTCAAAGATGACCCTGAACATTTAGAGGATGTTTGGCTCAACCTGCTGCTGTGAAGCAGGATTCTCCACCATGAACAGAATCAACAATAAATCTGGATCCAGGCTCAAAATGAGCTCCTTGATATGTGCTTGAGAATGGCTTAGTCTGCATTCAAACCAGGTTTAAAGCCTTGCAGGGCAGAATAAAGCCCACTGCCAACATTAAGACAGAAAAAAGAAAGAAATAACAGTCAGTTCAGGTCTTTTATAAAATATCTGAATCAGGAAATGATCTATATACCAAACTGAACAATTGTTATTCTCTACTTAAAAAAACTATTTAGATTTTAAAATGGAAAAAATGTCTATTTTTGAAAGTTTTTTTAATTTAAAAAGTCATTGTATAACATCGATGCAAAAACACCCCATTTTATTTCAGTGTTAAATTCCTTTTAAAGTAACAGATTATGATTAACTTCTTAACATCCTATTCTGCATACCCAAATGAAAAAGCAAATAACTTAGGAACTGTACGCCCAAATTACACGTGCAATACATTATTTGAAAGCTAACATCCTCTAGTTTCTGAATATATAAAATTGGGTGAAAAGACCACAGACTAACCGGCATCAGTTCAAACATGACTCAAAGTTTGTTTTGTTTTTAATCTCAGAAATGATAGGTCTTTTTGAACAGCAGTAATAAAGAAAAAGCAGGTTTTTTTGTATTATATGTGTTCTACATCATGTCAACCACAAATGCAGAAAATGTCAGACCTCTAGCTATAACAGTTCCAGGGGCTTTGAACTCTTGGTGTCAGCTTGGAGCTGCGCGCAATGGCTCCATCTGCTGGTAAAAAAATGTCCGGTGGAATTTTATGCATTTTGAGTTATTACCCCCACTTAAGGTCCTCCGGGTTGCCAGCGACTCGATGGGGTTTTAAGAGGTTAAAAAAGTCACTGGACCTTTGCTGGTTGTTAATTTTCTTTATTCCGACCCGACTGATTTTTAGTTGGTTACCCCTGATCTAGACGTTCACACAGCCATCTAAAATGGCATAACCACTATATAGTGCCCTGATATAGTGATTAGGGTGGACATTCAGACACCCAAAGATCCAAATGGGTCTGAACATGGATGCCAATTGGAATAGAGTTCCTAAAAATCCCTCTCTCTTTCAGAATAACAGTTTTTTCCAATCGGACCAAATCTGATAAGAATCCTGAGTCTGACATCATTATACAAACACACATTTTTTATCTGATCAGGCCTTCATCCCCATTATTTGTGTACATGTGAATGTACGTAGTTCATGAAAGCAGTTTGGGATTTTTTTTTATCAGTTTAAAACTTAGCAGTGGTTTAAATGTACCAGCATTAGACCTCAGACCCTCTCATTAGTCATTTATTACCAGTTATTAGTTAGAATCTGACATAGAATCTATTTCTTCCCCTTTTAAAGCATCATAAATGAAATGATTACAGATAATCTAAACACTAAACAAACTGCTTTGAAGCACATTATTTCAGTTCCAGCTATGATCATCATTAGCAGGTTAGATAAATGATGCATCTGTACTGGACAAAAGTTCTGATGAAGGAAAACCTTAAAATGACCCAAAACAGACTGAATGGTCTGCAGAGACTTTAAGGAGAGGAGACGACTACAGAGAAATCAGAATAAAGCTTCATTTCCAAGCTGTTTTACAGCTGAAATAAACAAATATGGGAACATATGATATGAAATAAGTCGTTTAGGACGATAACCATAGCAGATATTAAACAAACAGCAGCATTAGGGAATCAGATGAAGTAGGATCCAGGGGTAGAAGTTGGGAGCAGAGCAGCGGCTCCACGCCCCAGACGGTTCTTTATTCCAGCTCATCCATGCGTGAGGAAATTCCTCTGCACGCACTGACCCTCCAGTGAGCGATGAAGCCGACAGAAACCCCCTCACACCTCAGATGATCCAGCTCCACTATCCTCATCTTAATGAGATCAGCTCCACTCCGCTTCATCCTCAACTCTTTAGAATCAATAATGTAGAAGCTCAGACTCGCTGACCCACTTTCCCTCCAGCTTCCAGGGTTCCTGCTGCCGCTCCTCAGACAATCATGTCTTCCTCCTCTTCCTCGGAGCTGCCCTACTTCTGTCCCCGCTGTGGCGACCAGTACCGCTTCTCATCCGTACCTGAGCTCCGCGCTCACCTGGTCAGCCGGCACACCTACGAGACCCTGCTGGTGCTGTCGCAGGTAAATCCGCTGCATGATTTAAGACTCAGTCATTTCAGTAAAGGTTGAGGTGATAAATCTGTCCCAGAGAACAACAGAAAGACCAACATTAGAATGTTTTTTCTCCTTATAATCGAGCTGCTGTATAAAACCTGGAACTCAGCGCTATTCCTGACATTTTGAATTGAGAAAGCTTCCTGGATGGGAAGCGAAATGTTCTCAACCAGCTAAAATAAATTAATATTGGGCTACGAAACTAGTCCAAATTAAAAAAACGTAATATTATCTACACTAAAACAGGCGAAAGCTTCTGATTGGAGTTCTGCAAAGAAGCAGGAGAGAGTTTTTTGATTTGTGGAACTTGAGAAATGTAAGTTAACAACGTTAGGATTTCTTTTATTTTATCTTTTAATCAGATAGCCAAAGGCTCCTTAAAGAAGATCTTTTATGAAATGAAACCAGGTGAAACGGAAACGTTTAAACGTTTCCTTTGGAGGAGTTCTGGATGGAGAATATTGACAGACAAAAACTTTTTTTTTGTTACATCTTAAATGCAAAATGTTTACATATTTTTTATTATCTTGGTATAATTCCTGCTCTAAGTGGGTTGCTCTATCAGCTAAAGGCACATTTTAGTGGCCCTATACTCCAGTTAACGATTAATCAATTACTAAATGAGTTCACGATTATTTAAATAATTTGTGAATATGATTAATTGTTTCAGCCCTACATAAAATACATGAAATGGGCGACACAGAGTAACTACAGCCCATATGTACAACTTCTAATATTAATATTTTAAATGCTCAGTGTCAGTTACTCTTATACCGTAGTTCCAGTGCACATGTAAATACAATACATTTATTTGCCGTCCGTTGAATGTATTATTTTGCATGATCCAGAGAGAGCATATGTCAGGTCTAAGCACCTAAAACATCATAAATACAACAGGGAAAGAAAGCAGGCACAGAGACAATTAATTTAGTTTTACTCGCGAGGAGAGTGGGAAGAGACTGCGGAGTTTACAAATCTCCACCCCACTCTGCCGTTCTTCAGCTTTCTCCTTGCTATTTATTAAAGTCAGAGGGGGAGGTCCCTAGTTACACAAGCTGAGGTTGCGCTAAAGGAATAGGAAACAAGAAATACAATTCAATTTGCAGCTTCAGGCCCCGTCCACACGAAGTCAAACCCTGGCCTAAACGCACAAATTTTTCACCAAACCAGCCTCTCATCCATACGAAGCCGGCGTTTCGGGGGTCTGTAAACAATCTTTTTTTTTATTCAGCCTTCAGAGTGGGAAGATTTTGAAACGCCGTTTTCGCGTTTCCATCTTTAAGCTCTAACCGCATTTTTTTTTTACACACATGCGTCATAGCGTCGCCTCTAAACACGCATGCGCGACACAGTATCACAACAACAATGGCGCCGTACTGTGTTGAATGGTTGCTGCTCATGCTACTCACCCTGCTGTCGGGCTTCCAACAGAATCTTCTTCTTCTGGAATATCTCCAGGAAGAACAGAGCAATATCGACGACATAGTTCAGCACCTGAATTTGACTGAACCACGAAAATGGACCCGCAGGGCAACCATGTATAAATATTAGTGCGCATGCCCAACATTTGGTCGCTTATTTTTGCTTTGGCACCACAGCGCCACTTACAGGCCTGGCATAGATTTTGCAGCGTTTTCATGCATTCGTGTGGACCATCACATTTATTTTACGTCTCCGTCTTTACGGCAAACGTTTTGGAAAATATCAGCGTTTCGTGTTCGTTTTGACTTTGTGTGGACGGGGCCTCAGTGAACAGGTCAATTTGCATTTAAATTTCTTGAAGTCAAATGGTCCGAGAACCTCCTGGTTTCGTTAAGCTTGAGCAATACTTCCTGAGAGTTGACCTATACTGCTTGTGCAACACCTCTCTGGAACAGTAATATGTCACACATTATACATCATAAGAACAAACATTAAGTATCTTATACATAATTATTCCAACAGCATATTACATAAAAAAATAAGAGTGGGTTTTACCTCTTTTTTCCTCTGCACAATTCTATATCTTCAGAAGAAAACACAGGATAAATCCACATATAACAGACATATTTAGACTAGGGATGCACGATATAATCGGCCCCCTATCGGTATCGGCCTTAAAACTGAATATCGGACATCGGCCACCCCACCGATATTTAACCCGATATTTGATCAGCTTCTGAGTTTCTAAAGTCTTAAAAAAAATAAAAAAAAATACTACTTCTTCTTCTTCCTCAAAAAACTTATTTTTTACAGACTTAAAAACTTCTAAAGACGAGGGAAAAAATATTGATACATTAAAATATCCCAATATCTTCATATGCTGATATATTGTCATTTAAAAACACCATATCAATCTCTTTTACTAATGAAATATTGCTATATGTCATCGTTATGCTACGAAATCCCAGAAAATTCACGAAATGTTGCCATATTTTTATATGTTGATATATTGACGCGGTATCGATCTATTTTACTAACAAAATCTTACAAGAATTTGCAAAATAGATTAGAATAGAACGATGAAATTTCACGAGATTTTGAAAGTAAAATAGATCGATACCGCGTTTTTAAAAATCTATTTGATATCAGCATATGAAAATATATTTGAGTATATTATTTGTGTCAGAAATGGATAACAAAACTGCTATTTTCAATGACTACTTATTTTTGTCCAGCTTTAACATCGGTATCGATATCGGTTATCGGCTACATGAGTTTTAAAATATCGGCATATCGGATATCGGCCAAAATCCCAATATCGTGCATCCCTAATTTAGACTATATTTGGTTAAATAGGCACTGGTAAGTTTAAATGCAAACCTTTTCAAAGTGGAAAAAGTCCTAATTCCACATTCATCAGAGCCAGTGATGCTTTAAACGTTGATAAACAGCATCTAGTGAGTGCAGTGCTCATAAGATTTGTATTATTGTGGCAAGAAATGCTGCTGTTCTCTTTAAACAAAATGAGCCCTGAAGCTCACATTATGCATAAAAAAAGAGCATACATATTTTGCAAAGGACCAATGAAACTGAAGAATAGTGTCCCTACCAAAGTTGAAATCAAACCTATGTCCTTGGATCAATAGCTCAATTATTATTATTAAAATAAGCCTGCAGATCATCTATTAGGAAGTTACATAAACTATTTCATAAATTAGTCGTTGTTTGAGCTCATTTTAAAATCAGAAACAGAATCAAAGGATTTCCTATAAGTATCCAAAGTGCTCCTCTCCCTCCTGCTGCGTCTATAAACAGCAAGATGTGACGTGACAGAGCACTGAGATCCAGACTGGATCCAATCAATAGAAAGTAAATTAGTGCAGCAGACCTCACCGTCAAACTGCTGGTAATTATATAAACATGTTTAACAGGTTCGATCTGGAGAACCGGTTTCTTCTCCTCCCGCTTCTTTGTTTGGTCTTTGGTTTCTTTGTTTAACAGGTTTAACAGACATTTAATCATCTCTAAACCACATTTTAAACACTTCTTTAACCAATTCAGCCTGGGTGACCTCATCTGCTCATGTTTCAGGGTCGGGTCAGAAGTTCTAGACCCGCTGCTCTCCTCCCTCTTCCTGGACCGGCTGTGTCCCACAGCGGGACGTCCTCTCTGAACATGGACACCCACAGCTTCCTTCCACCGCTGGCCTGCTTGGACCTCGCCTCGTCTTCGGCCTCCATCCAGCTGCTCAGGGAGATGTTCAGCCCGCCGGACCGCGCTCTGCCGCCCCCTCCTAGCCAGGCAGAGATCCCCTCCACCGCGCTGGCCCTACCTGGGTCTCTGGACCTGCTTCCTGGGAAGAACCTCGGCGATGTGGGGGTCCTGGGCCTGGATTTCAGCCTGTCGGTGGATATCGGGCTAGAGGAGCGGCTGGGGCTGGGACTGGACCATAAAATCGCTCGCACCTTCGCAGAGGTGGAGGAGAGGGTGAACCGGCGCGTTGGACGACTGAAGGCGGAGCTACAGAAGAGGGAGGCGGAGCTTCAGCGAAAAAGGCGTGATAGGGAGCGGCTGAAGAGGGAGAAGAAGGAGGTGGAGGAGAGGGCGGCGTACCTGTCCAGACAGGTAAGACTCATTCTAAGCCTCTTATTAAACACTTAATGTGTTTTTATTTACAAACATCCAATTGTTTCTGAAGCATTTCTGTTTCCTTCAGGTGTCCGCTGCCGTGGAGATGATGGAGCGACTAAAGAGAAACCTTTCAGAAAAAGAGACGGAGCTGAGCGAGCGACAAGAGTCAGTGCCTTTAAAGTCGTAGGGAAGCCATATTTAGATGTCAAATCATTCTGGCTTGAACATGTATATAAATATAGTCTTTATCAGACGATATGGTCCTAAAATTTAGATAATTTCTATTTAAAATCTGTGGGGGGCTTTTTGTTACCTTATGCGGACCAGTTAGTTTCACGTTAGCTTGTTCACCTAAATTTGGCCAATCATATATCAACGGTCATCTGTCAATCAAATTTTTTCGGTCATAGCATCTTGATTCATATGTCGCAGCTAATGTAGTTCCGTCCCAGTGTTCACGGGGATGGACGTCTGTGTCTTCAGCAGGCGTAGAGCTAACAGAACTGGCAGCGTTGCGAGGCAAGGGCTCAAACATGTACGGCTGTAAGCCTTCTACACCAAACCAAGCTTCTGCCGCCCTGGCGTCCTCTTCCACAACATCTTCGTCCCCGCTTTCCTCCTCTAAATAAAAAATGGATGACTGAGGAGACTCATCCACGACCTCCGACACTAAACTCTCCTCCTCTTGCATGTTTCCTCTGTCCATAGCGTTCCTTGACAGTGTCGTTTCTAAGTCACCAATTTAGTGCTACTTGGTCCCAATGGAATTTCCCATTGGGAACCTACTAGCACTAAGTTGCTAACTGGTTAGCAAGATGCTTCTGACAAACCGGCCACAACCAAACTGGCTTGTGAACCTTCCACCACAACAATCCCGCCCCCTTGATAAACGACCAATCACATTCACTTTGTCCACTCGTATAAAGTCGGGCACCACTCGGGAGAATTCGGAAATGCAGCAGTTGGAACAGACGCTTCCCTACAGCTTTAAGAGGTTTATTTGGGGGAATGTGTTTTATTTTACCATCCAAGTGTCTCCAAGCTGCTGATGTCTCAATCTGCAGCTTTTGCAGACAACAGACCAAATGTAAACAACACAAGCTAAAAATAAGCAGCTTCAGGCTTCAGGGTTGAAGTGTGTCTAAATGTAGTGAGTCTTAAATGAAGCAGCCTGTATTTAATAAAAACACAGAGAGCGGCGCAGCTTTAAAGGTCAGTTAAATAGCAGTTTGCTCTCAGCAGATCAGTAAATACCACCAGGAAGTCAAAGCAGTGAGCAGAGAGACCTGGTTTCTAGATAGAGGACACGTCATGTTGGCTTTACCTCAGCCTGACACACAGTTTGCTGTTCAAATAGATGCAGGATGACAGGGGGCCCAGCAGCCCTGAGGGGTGGGGGGGCTGCTTGTGAGGTCAGACCAGTGGCTCCAGTTACCTCTGTGTGTTAAATGAACACATCAGTCTGTCTGTTTCACTAATCTCTTACTGTTTTTACAGGGAGATGGTCGACATCGAGCTTTTCCTGCGGCAAACGGCAGAGAAGGAAGCAGAGGCCAAATCCAGGCTGCAGGTGACTGCCATGTTCAGATTAGATTAGAGTAGATTACATTGGATTAGATCAGATCAACTACTGGATACTGATTAGATTAGGTCTCTGAGCTCCTCCTCAGCTTCATTCACAGCAGGATTGATGTGACGTTCAGACACCACAGATAGGAGAACAACAGAACAGGTTGTTAATATGGAAGGTTAGGAGTGCCAGATTTCAATAAATAAATAACATTTAACAATTGTGTTAACAATTTATTAAAAATGGAAGCAATTTATTTAATAAATACATAATTGATTATATCGGCTTAATATTAATAATAACAAACTTAATATTATATAATATTAAGTTTGCTAACTGAATATTAACTTGAACCCTAATATTTAAATAATATGCTAATATACTTGCTGAAAAAGTTAAAGTAGACTATCAAAACAATTACGATTTTCTGAGTTAACTTTTATATTTCTATGTTTTCTCGTTTCATTTTAGGGTTTTAATTTTAAATTTCTAATACTTTGTAGGGATAATTGATGTTTAGGTAAATAGAATAATGTTTGTCAATCATCAACAATTGAGTATTATTTTTTTTTAAATCATAAAAAAGTCTTTCAAAGTGAAAAATTCTGTTCTAATGAATATTTACATTCTCATACTTTGAAAACTAAATAAATACATTAAAAACATTTCTCTGTATATTTTTAAGTTGTTTTCACTATCAGCAGTTTGGGAAAATTAAGATTAATGAATGTTAGTTCATGTTAGCCAGTCCATCGCAAGGCAGTATTATCTATTATCAAGTTATTTAAGATTACTCTTATTTTTCAAAAGCTAACTTTATGTTTACCACTGTCCTGTTTGTGAAATTTTTTAAATCTTTAGTTCATTATTTATACATAACCTAAGTGGAACAGACATCATATTCTGGTATTAAAGACTGAGTTTTTTTGTTTTTTTAACCACAAGGTTGTTTCTACAGGTAAAGTAAAAGAATTTTGAAAGCAGAAAAAGATTATGTTTATGTTTTTATTATAACCTTCTGCAGAATTCATAGGTCTTATTAAATAAACTAAAATAGAAAATAAAGACTATAAGTTAATGTTGAATAAGTGCAGTCAGCATTTGTCTGAAAATATGGTTACAATTTAAAAGTACATGCTGTTCAAATTCTGCTTCATCTAAATCTAGCTTAAAAATTATAGGAGCTTAAAAAAGAAAGAAAGAAAGAAAGAAAGAAAGAAAGAAAGAAAGAAAGAAAGAAAGAAAGAAAGAAAGAAAGAAAGAAAGAAAGAAAGAAAGAAAGAAAGAAAGAAAGAAAGAAAGAAAGAAAGAAAGAAAGAAAGAAAGAAAGAAAGAAAGAAAGAAAGAAAGAAAGAAAGAACAAATAAATGCTGCCCTGAATTTTGGATATTAACTGATGTTGAAAAGCTAAAATTCTTCAAAATTAAAACCTGATTATTTTCCACGATTAATCGCAACAATTTATTCAATTCCAACCTAGAAAAAATAGAATCTTACATTTTTTTGTATTAACTTCAAAACATTTTTGCATCAGAGAATATCCATAGTTTTATTCCTGTAAAAATGTGAAATTAGTCTATAAATTTGTAACTTTTTAGGCAGACATTTACTAAGGAAATATTTTTCCCTTAATTGAAAATGGCCCGAATACTGTGGTAAAGACCAACTAATTCATTTCAATTCAGGTTATTTCTATAGCGCCAATTCACAACACATGTCATCTCAAGGCACTCAAACTAAGCATGCTTGTAGCGACAGTGGAGAGGAACAACTCCCTTTTAACAGGAAGAAACTTCCAGCAGAACTAGTCTCAGTGTGAGCGGCCATTTTCTTTATTGTAGGTTTTCATCGAGACGTTGTTGGATCGAGCCGACCGAGCAGAGAGGCAGTTACTGCTGCTCAGCCACAACCACTTCACAAACAACGACAGGTTTGAATACGCCGAGCCGTACTCACCCTCTGAGGTGTACTCACCTGTACCTGGACGAGCTGGGCGGAGCCTGGACGGCAGCACCGATGACATCATCCCCAACAAGATGCAGGACAGCATTGGAAACAGGGTAAGGAACCAGCATCTGGTCATATAAGGATTAAACAAAAGAGAAAATCTGTTTTATACATTTGTTTGCTGTCTGTTTATTTATTTAGAGAAGCTACAGTGTCTCAAGTTCCTACAGACTGGGAGAGCAAACACATGGACACCATCACTACAGGTTCATTAAATTGTCCTTTGGTCACAAAGACTGTTTGTTTCCTAAATTTCTTTGACACATAAAGTTCCTACAGACTTTGAAAGCATCGGGTAGCTGGAAGGATTATTTAAAGCAAGGCGTTACAGACGTAGTTATTGCTTCAGCTTTTGAGCTTTTTCATCACTCCTCTTGTCTGTTTCAGTGGTCTGAATGAGGAAATGAGGACCTTATCTCTGGGCTCGGGGGGCTGGGACTGTGAGGGAGGACTGCTCCACTTCCAGCCGTCTCATTACGCCGCACACTGGACTCCACGGGAAAGAGAGGGATTCAGACGGAGAGAGAGAGTCTGGTATGTGGATTAAAAGGGAAGGGAAATAAAAATTAAAAACAAAAAAAATCTTATCAAAAAACGACCATTATAAGTCAAATTTAAGTAAAGTCAATGTATTCGTATAGCACTTTTCAAGGATAAAAATCACAAAGTGCTTCAGAATAAAAACGTAACAATAGAACAATGTAGAATACAATGTAAAACTACATTAAAAAAAAAATGGAAAAATACAAACAAAGGCATAAAAACCTGCTTGAATAGCAGCATCTTCAGTTGCTTTTTAAAAAACCCTATCCTATTGGATTTAAACTCCCTTTAAAGCTTTAAATTTGTTATTTAAAATAAACTAGACAACATGGTTAATTCCAGATTAATAATTCAACACTGCAGGGAATTTCATCATTCGGTTTATTAAAGACCTTTATTGTGGAAGATATTGAGGAAATCCAGTCTTTTAACAGTTTATCCAGAAACCAGTGATTGATATAAAAAGTTAAACGTAGAGTTAAAAGTAAAAATCGTTAACTAATTTAGTAATCGATTAATGGTTAACTGGAGTAGAGAGACTTAAAAGAAGAATTTTTTATATTCTTTTTTGTTCCTGCATTTTTTTATTTTTTCCTACTTGCTTTGATTCTGTTTTATTTTCCTGTATTTTAATCATGTAAAGCACTTTGCATTGTCTTTGTACTGAATTGTGCTATACAAATAAATTTGCCTAGCCTTGCCTAAAAACTTGACTTTAGCTGACACAGTGACCCACATAGAGCAGTAATTATACCTAAATTGTAGAAAAAATATAGAAACATTTTCCATTTAAGATTGAAAAAAAAAAACGTTTTCGTCTGTTAATATACTCCATTCAGAACTCTTTAAGTGGAAAAGTTTTAGTTTCACTTGGTTTAACGTCTTCTATCCAATTATTAATAAAAAAAATAATCAACAGATTAATTGATTTGCAAAATGATTGTTAGTTTCAGCCCTAGTCTGTTTTAAAAATGTATTCATTAGTTTAACTTTATGGCTGTTTCTACGCCAGCATACAGGATAAAATCAGCAGAAGGCGACTGCTTCTTCAGGGACTCATAATCTAACAATAAAAACAAAATAAAACATACATTCATATTTTAGGTATGTTAAAGATAAGGAGATCTTTAAAAAGAATTCCATTTGATTCAACTGATCTTAATTTTTCACTTTTAACCTTTGATTATTCACACAATGAACCTCTAGAAACATTTAAACCCTGTTAATAGCCAGATTTCATCCATCAATAATATAAAATGTATGTTTTTCTTTTTTTTTTTCTTTTTTCACAATGTTCAATGACAATTGTCATGGGTAAAAAGTATTTTTTCTCCAGTTAAATAAACAGAGATAGATGGATTTCACTCAGTTGTTATTTTATTTTATCTTTGCAAAGAGAGAACAGTTCATCATACGGCCGTTATTGTTTGGTAATCAGCCCTGTTCTAATCTAGACAGAGTTTGTATCCCTTACTTATAATGAAAAAGCTGTGAAGGTTGTTTCAGAGTCAAAACAAATTACACACACTTTGGTTAAACAATAACAAACATTGAGAAAGAATTTGGCTTGTTATGAGAATAAGTGTCTTCAGTGGCGGCCGGCCCATAGGGGGCGCTGGGGCACCGCCCTCCCTGATAAGAAGAGAGAAACGTAAAATATATTTTTAGAAATTAACTCATAAATGTCAGTTTTACTCTCTAGACTGTGTACCTATAAGCAAAACAAATTGTATAAACTACATTTCCCTATCTACTGTCATTAATTTGTGGATTTCCACAGACAGACTCCTACCGTCTCTGTTCTGGGGGCGCTGATCAGACTGACCCACATTTGCAGAGAATCTGTCAATCATGTACTATTGCTAGGTGAATTTAATGGCCAATCAGCGTCTCGGAACTTTATGGTATTGGGGCGCTGAAAATACTGCGCTTTAACAGGCTTCTGAACCCAAGCGCAGGTGCAGACAGTTAGAGGGAAGATGGCGAATGTAACGACCGAGATGCAGCTTCCACCAAATTCGGTGAGATCGTTATTTATCTACCCGTTTGCCAGAAGAATATCCCTGTTGTAGGATATGAACATTTCATGTCATGGTTATTGTGACTGTGACGAATCCACCTCGTCGCTTAAAACAACCTCTCTAACTTTGCGCACCACACACACATTCCTGTTATACTGTGTTTGTGAGGACCAATACACTCGCGCTGAGATCAGTAGCTCCATTAACTTAAAGCACACAAGCTGTTCCTGGTTACCTGCTGGCATATTGAGGGTGCACACTTAATATTTCAGTGGGGTTAGCCGTGTGTGTGTGTGTGTGTGTGTGTGTGTGTGTGTGTGTGTGTGTGTGTGTGTGTGTGTGTGTGTGTGTGTGTGTGTGTGTGTGTGTGTGGGTATGTGGGGGGTGTGGGTGTGTACGTGTTTATGCGGGGACTTGTCATCTTCAGTCTGGTTGCGTCTTTGCTGGGTTCAAACCCAGTTTGGTGTAATTGAATAAGTCAATGAATCTGTGTAAAAGAATTAAGTTGTAAAAATTATTTGTTTTGTTTTACATCAATTGTTTGTGGAGGTAATATATGGACAAAACTGATTAATGAGAAGAAATCAGAAATAAGAGAGCCTGATGTGAGGGGCTTAAACTATTTAATGAGGGCTGTGGGAAGAAGAGCGGCAATTTTTGTTTTCCGTTTCTTTGTTACATTGCTGGTAACTGGAGGGAGGCTGAGGCCCAGAGTATCTTGTATGTTTAGTTTCTTTTGCACCCTGTTTTGAGTTTTTGAGCTCAATAAATCACCAACACCGGTAACCCGACTGAGACTGGATTCTTGGAGGCCAAAGAACCCCGTCACAGTGACCCAAATCATCACTGTTACTATTATTATATAGTAAATTAAATCATTACTGTTAAATTGTATGTATTGTCCAATTGTTTATTTGAATTCTTATTCCGGATTAGTTGGAGACATACACTAGGCTATATCAGCCCCACCAAAAATATTTTTCACCAGCCGCCACTGAGTGTCTTCTATGCATGCCTATGTGTGGCCTTGCAGGTGGAAGAGACTGAAGGAAAATCTTTTTTCAGTGAGTAAATAGCATAAATAGACATACGAAATAAGAGAAATCTACCTCTTCTGACAACAACAATTCTAATTTAATGAAAATTAAGTAATTATTTAATGATTCAGGGCTTTAAAGGGTTTAGTTCACTACGTGCCCTCACAGATTCAGCCAAGCTTTCAAAGAGAAGAGCTTTGCATAGAAACAACAAATCACCAAAAGATCAAACCCATGGTGGAAATGTGATGTTTTTACCCGTTTTTTTAGAATGTTCAATGATAATTGTCGTGGTTAAGAAAAATATAACTATAAATTTTGTAGCACTTTGAGATTTTGTTGAAATGTAAAGTGCAATACAAATAAAATGTATTATTATTATTATTATTATTATTATTATTGTTATTATTAAATATTCAACAATCATCTCCAGTTAAATAAACATAGATTGATGGATTTCACTCAGTTGGGACTTGTTTTATCTTTGCAAAGAGAGAACAGTTCATCATACGGCCATTATTGTTTGGTAATCTGCCCTGTTCTGATCTAAACAGAGTTTGTCTCCCTTACTTATAATGATGAAAAAGCTGTGAAGGTTGTGTCAGAGTACATTATGTGCCTTCACAGATTTAGCCAAGCTTTCAAAGAGAAGAGCTTTGCATAGAAACAACAAAAAGATCAGACCCATGGTGGAAATGTTATGGTTTTTGCTGTGGGATTTCTTTTTTTTTCTGCTCTAACTGGGAATAAAGCTTTAAAAACCCAGTGGTTCTGACTGAAATCCCTGAGATTTCTACTGAAGAAAGCTGAAACAGGACTTTTAGATCAGCTCAGAAGCAGTCAGAGAATAATTAGCAGTAGAGGTAAGAGGTAGAGGAAAGGTCTTCTTAGAGTTTGTGGTATTTCTAACATTTATAGAAAGCTCTTATATTGATCAGTTATCACTTAATGCAAACATGGAATAAACTCATGGCTCAAGGCAAAGGGTCGGGTAAGGGATGTGCAATCTACCTATGCCAGGTTGTTGTAGCTTTTTACTTTTTTTTACTTTTTATCTTTATCTTCTTTTTATTCAAAAACTCCTTGTTATTAAGGTTTTAAATCTCAGTATTTCTTCTGCTTAAATAAGGCTATAATATTAAATGGAATTACATGATAAATGCCTGAAAAAAGTTTGATGATTAATCAGGGTTGGAGATGAAGGATGGGGGAGAACCTGGAGCAGAAGAAACATTCGACACCACAGCACTGAGGAAGAGGATGAGGAAGAGGAGGAGGAAGGCCTGTGGAGCAGTCCTGAGATGACGCACCACATATTTGCCAGAAAGCACACACCTGGAACAGGTAAGCACCTCCTCCTCTCATTGATTGTTAGAGTTTTAACACCTTTTATTTACTCTCCTTCCTCTTCCTGTTCCCCCGACCCAGTAGACACGCCCTACTCCATTGGCTCCACCCCCTCCCGCCATCACGCCAACAGGCAGACAGAGGCGGACACCCTAAAGATGAGGGCGGGGCTGTTCTGCGTCTTCCCATATTTGGACGTGCGCTCGTTGCTGCGCGTTGCCGAGGTGTGCCGTGATTGGAGGTTTGTTGCCAGGCACCCGGCGGTTTGGACACACCTTCGACTGGAAAACGCTCGAGTGTCGACTGAGGTACATCATCGTCCTTTTAAAGCCATCTCTGATTATTATCGTTAACCTAAGACCTCCTCAGTGTTATTTCTAATATGAAGCTAACCAGAGCTGCAGTATATTACCATCTGTTTGCTAATTACTCAGATACCATCAGAGGTGGGTAGTAAGCAGTATTTACTCAGTTACATTTACTTGAGTAACGTTTAGAACAGTAATTAAAGGTATCTATACTTTACTATACTCTTAAAGGTATCTATACTTTACTATACTCTTTACCTTATGTAATACTCTTGTGGAAGTATGGCTACTCTCATATGAGTAACACTTACATCATATATTAGTCTTAAAAGGAGACGGACTCCATGGCGAGACATATAGAGTCAATGGAAACAGTTTAGGACCAATCAGGTAACTAATGATGTGATTGAAAAATCAACTTTAAAAAAAAAGAGTAGCTCTTACAGCAGCCAGTTAATGAAATGTTAAAACATAAACAGCTCTTTTGGGAGATAATAGATGACATCATTAGAACATGGCTCCATTCCATCAGCAGCCTTGACTGTTATGGTTTTGGAGAAGCGCTGGTGCATTAGGGGCCACCGCTGCGCTGTGATTTGTCTGGTCTGTGTTATGCTACGTTCAGACCGCACGGGCTACAGGCAACAGAAGCAGCAGGTTTACATGCTAAGTCAAAGGCTGACACGCATCAATGCGTAGCAGAAGGTCCTGCAGCGCGTTTTGAGGAACGGAAGCAGCGCCTCGTGAGCTTCTGATGCACGTGATGCGCTGCAAAAGCAGAAGCTGCTGGAGTTGGAAGAATTTAACTTTTGCTGTTCGACGAGCCACATCAACCAATCAGAGGAGCTGCCTGCAGTTTGGATTATGTACATAAAAATGGCCCTCCAGCCATGGCGAACAGTAGCGGAAACCCCCAACAGGTGACCGGGCCAGAGGATGCTGTTGAACGGAATTCCCAGTGACAGCTCACCGCCATTGTACAGGGGTCTATGCAACTCTGACAGCTAAATAAAATTTGAAGGCAGGATCTGGCTGAAAGTTTCCAGGTGGACTTTCGCACTTAGAAACATTAAAACTAGTTTTTACCCACTGATCACGGCTAATATAGCAAAGCTGCTCTCTGTCATTGAACACAGGAGCAGCAGAAGCATCAGATGCATCTGGACACACTTTACTGGACGTCTGACCTTAATGTACCGGTAGACAAGCATCAATAATGAAGCAGCAGAAGCTTTTTTGCGGCATCCAATGCTTGCAGTCTGAACGTCGCATCATTCATTAAAATAAACAAATTGACTCTTTTCATTTCATAAGCCATTGTTACAGGCAAAGAAAGGATGGGGTAGCTCCGCTCAACATGCATCAGACCCAATTTTCTACCATGCAGCCAGAGCAGCAAAAATACTTCAGCCGTTCGTCAGAACTAAACTTGTACAGCATCAAAAATGAAGCAGCAAGCAAGTTTTTGCTGCTCCTGCTGATTGTGGTTTGAACGTAGCATTAAACTGTGTAGAGCATTAAGCTTTACCAGACTCACCATCACCCCCTGCAGGTCAGCCTGACTGCTCAGCTGATGTTACTCTACCCACCATCAGTGACTTGGACCGTTTGATGTCAAGTTATATATATTCTTTACACTTTCCTAATATATATTAATTACCTGCTGTGAACAATCGTTTCTATAAATTAATGTTGAGAATATGATATTATGGTTGTAATATTATTTATTTGCATTGTAATATTTTTATTTATAATTTGCAATACCAGAATTTGCACTTAATTCTGTCTGATTTTTTTTTTATTTTAAATCTAATTAAATCTTTTGTTTTCAACAATTACTCAGTACTTGAGTAATCATTTTACCCATAACTTTTTATTCTTACTACTTTCCTCAGTGCTGAGTAAAGTTTTATATTTATTTAGGTCTTCATTGTTATAATATATTTGGACCCAATATTGTTCAATGATGAATGAAATATTTTTGAAGCTTATAAGCTACTTAGGTACTAAAGTCAATAAAGATGTAAAACTAGGTTGTTTTAATGCTAAAACAGCAGAGTTGTGCAATAAATCTATCAAAAGGGTTTTTAATCCTGCAGATTACTGATCCTGTTTCTATGTTACAGCGATTAGAAGAAAGCTGTAGTTGATAGAAACCCTGACTGTTGCTGAAACAGCAAACAGATAGAAAAAGGTGCTGAGTTCCAGTGAGGCGGACGTTTGGAGAACTGGTCAATACCTGAAAATATACCAACATAAAATGAAGAGTTTTTGAAATATGAGTTAATTTAGACCAGTTTAGAATCATGAATTATTGTAGAGAGAGCTGCAGAAATGGATCAGTGTTAACTTTGGCTACAAACTTGTTAAATAAGTATAAAGACATTTATATTTCAGTTATTTAGTGGCAGACAGAATGATCTGCTTTTAGCTCTGCCGCCTTTAACAGGAATTTAGCTCTAGGACTATAAGGGGTCTGCAGCACAAAGGATGAGCATTTCATTCCAATAACTTTTGTTTGCATCCATATCTGAATTAACAGTCCATTTTTAATGTTTGTGTAGTTCCTGCAGACTCTGTCTCAGTGGTGCACTCAGACCCAGTCTGTCATCCTCCACAACCTGAAGCCTCGGAGCCGGCGGGCCGACGAGACGCGGGAGGATTACCACAGAAACACACGGTATCTCTCTCACACACGCACCCAACATACATGACCCTTAGCTTCTACTGGACTTATACGGGCAGCTCCTGTGAAAATGAACTTAAATATATAGGAGGATTTCTGTCCCTTTTAGAACATGATAAGAACATCAGCGGAGGGTCCTCACAAGGCTAGTAACGCCAGTAGACACAGCCAGGCAGCTCAGAGGGATTAAAAATCTGAAAAGCTCAGAGAAAATGTTGAGATATTATCTTATATTAAGCAGAGAAATATGCATGTTGCCATGGAAACAGCATATGCTGCAAAAACGTTCTGAAAATGATTAAAAATCACAAAATAAATGTATTTACTCTTAATTTGATTTAAAAAAATCAGAGGATCTGCCAATGAAAAGATAATTTTTAACTCTTAAAATAAGATAATTTGATATTGTGCATTTGAAATAAGAGACTGCAAAATTGTTTTATTATTTTAAATGTAAATTGTTTTATTCCTGTCATGATTTAATTAAAGGTCTGACCCAAAATGCAGAACACCAAACAGAGAGACCAGGGAAAAGTTTAACAGGTTTATTAAGAATATGGTGATGAATCCAGTGCTGCTCAGAACACTGTCAAACCGCAACTGGAAGGTGAGGGGAAGACACTGCGGTTAGTTCAGGCTCAGTGGGAAATTAGATTCTTAGGCTTGAATTGGAGGAATAGGTTGCAGACTCACTTCTCCAGAAAAAGGTGTCCTTTATGGAATTCAATCTGTGTGGAATGTTCCAGTGATTGTCTCGTTTGGTGTTACTCAGACTGCGGTTGTTCCTTGGTGAACGGAGAAGCTGACTGCCTCTCAGATTTCCTGCGGTACTTGAACGGGCTGCGGTGCAGATGAAACCTTTGCTCAGTGTGAAGCTCAAACGACCTCTTGGGGAAAGTGGATCCAAACCTCCTGTTTGGAATTAGTGTTGCACCGATACCGAGACCAGTATCGGACGGGGCCCCGATACTGCCCTAAAATGGTGGTATCGGTATCGGCGAGTACCAACAAATAGGGCACTGATACCATCTTGAGAGCCATAAGTTTATTCAACGATTGTCACCCACTCCTAGTAGGCAATAAAAAGTTCTACTGGATTCACTTTGTATTAGAGTTTTTCCTGCTTCACAAAGGTAGGCAGCAGCTTGACATGAAGCCATGATGGCAATTATTTTATATTATTATGGTATCGGTTTCGGCCAATACTGTACAGCCAGGTATCGGTATCGGGGCCAAAAAATGGCATCGGCGCAACACTATTTGGAACCCCAGCTCAGTTAGAAGCACAGTTGATCCCTCCAGAGAGAGAAGGTCCGAAAAAATCCAGTTTGCAGGATGACTTCCTGCCGAGAAGCAAAGAGGAAGACAAAGTTAAGGCTCTGGTTGACAAAAACTCAGTTTGACTCAGAAAAACTCAGCTTGACTAGAAAATCCAAAACTGGCAAAACAAAAACTCAGGTTAGACTCTGCTAAACTAAGCATGGCTAGAGTACCCTGTATAGGTAAACACTCTGGCATCGAGGTAGTGGCAGTCAGCAGCTTAAGAACACTCCACAGGTAATGAGGCAATGAGCTGCAGGTGTGCAGGGAGGCCCAATGAGGACGGGGCACCACCTGGTGGAGGAGGAAAGGAAACACAAAAACAGACCACACAAACTGGGTTCCTGACAGTTCCATTGGCTCAATTGAAGAAAAAATGCACTTATTTCAAGAAAAATTGCCTTTTTTGCAGTGTGTAGTTCTAACAGGAGTCCAGCTGTAATCTGAAGGTTTGACTGAAGGAACTGAAGGTGTGAGGGTCAGGAGTGACGATGTCAGGTGGTCTCTTTCAGAAGCAGCGTGGAGCCCGGCGTGGAGGCGCTGCTGCGCTCAGCGGGGGGCAGCCTGCTTCACCTCTCCGTCTCCCAGTGTCCTCACATGCTCAGCGACAGGACGCTGTGGATGGCCAGCTGCTACTGCAGGAACCTGCAAACTCTCACATACAGGTGAGGCTGCCTCTCCCACTGTCCACCTGCCTGCTGCTCAGTCGCAGCGTTTAACCGCTTCCTCTGCCGGCAGGAGTTCCTCAGATCCGGTTGGTCAGGAGGTCCTGTGGGCCCTGGGGGCTGGATGCAGGAGCATCAGCAGACTCCATGTTGCTCCGGCGCACCCCAGGTGGTTTTCTGTTTGATTCCTTTCAAATAAAATGATTTATTTACAGTGATGATTTCTGCCTTGTTAAAATCGACATGTTTAAATGAAATCCTCTGACCGTTATCTTTCGGTTTTAGCCAACAGCCGACTCGTTTCGGAAAACGCTGCCTGCAAACGATCGGCAGATGTTGGCCACATCTGCGTTCCCTCAGTGTGGGCGGGGCTGGCTGCAGCACTCAGGGATTGGTTGCTGTTGGTAAGTCAGAGGCCATTTTTCCAGCTCTTCCATAGATCATGTAAATATTAACGATTCATTAAATGTATCATTAATGATAAGCTGAATATTAATGTGTAATATAGAAACAGAACATTTGGGGCAGGATTAGAAATATTCTTGTGTGTTCCTGGTATTGCTGTGAAGTGGGCAGCTGCCCTCGCCTGCAGGTGCTGGAGCTGGAGCGCATTACTGACCTGAGCCTGCAGGTGGCGACAGAGCTCTGTAAGGCTGGACTGAAGAGTCTGCAGATGCTGATTCTGACCCACACACCGGTCAGCGGCCAGGCCATCCTCCACTTCCACAGTAGGATCCCTGTTCTGCTACTTACTGCTTTCAGCATTATTTATCGCATCACAGAGGTTCACCTTTCGTCCTCCTTACCTTATGTTCTCTTGACTTTCTGTCCTCCTGACCTTCCGTCCTCCTGACCTCCCGTCCTGCTGACCTTCCGTCCTCCTGACCTTCCGTCCTCTTGACCTTCTGTCCTCCTGACCTTCTGTCCTCCTCCACAGGTGTTTGCAGTAAAATCAGGTCCATCGTGGTGGACATCTCAGTGTCAGATTACTTTGAGGAACCGGATACTCAGGAAGCGAAACACCTGTTTGGAGAAATTCTCAGCACTCTGAAGGTGAGCTTTTCTCCAGAGAAAAGAACATTTAGTATCCAGAGAAAAAGGAACAATTAAATAAATTTTCTATTAGTTAATTAAAATATGTTTTGGATTATAAATTAAATAATTGTTATTTTGAAAATTCATTTATCAAGCACATATTGTGAATATTAAATATGCCATATAAAATATGAAATTAAATATTTGAATGTCCCCATAAATTAATCATAGTTTAAATCGGAGGTCTTCAACAGGTGGTCCGCGACCTCCTAGGGAGTCCACAGAGGTACTGCATGGGGGTCGCAAAAGTTTTGGTTGATTAGACTTTTTTTTTTTTTTTTTTTCCACTATTCGAAATGTCTAAATCCACATTAACATGAATTCAGCACACTGTAGTAAACAGATAAATGGAGGCAGAAGATGTCTTTCAGCGACACACAGGAGCTCTTTCTAGCTGGGCACCGTTTCATTCACAACACCTGTCCCATCAACCAGGAATCAGAAATACTTTAATAATCCCAGTGAGGGATTACTTTCATTTGCATTACTCCATCTGTAATAGAGTGACTGTAGGACTAGTTTGATATAACACCATTTAATACAATATATATAATTAGGGGGTCCCCGCTCCATTTCGCCATCAGTTTGGGCTCCTTGGCCTGGAAAACGTTAAAGCCCCCTGATTTAAATGATTAGATGTTATATAAAAAAAACATTTATCTAATCAAACAGAACAGATATAGCATGAAATAATAAAATGTGCAATAATTAACTGCTCCATAAATAAGTTAGCATACATAATGAAATATATACATTTTATCATTAAATGCTATTTAAGAGAATACATTCATATTGCAATATGATAATTAGAGTGAAATAGCTACGTGTATTTTAAGGTGTTTTTGGCGTCACAGGCTGAAATGTTCAGGAACCCCAAACTCTCAGTGATGGATTGAACATGTCTAGTCTCTAATTTCATGTTCCCTCAGGTCCTTCAGACTCGGGCCGGCCTTTGTGACGTCCTCCAGGTCAAAGCAGAAGGATTCTCCTGACCTCAACAGCCACACATCCAGGATCCGACTCTCCTTACCTCCAAGTTTACGACTAAAGATGCAGAAAAGGGCACAAATATCTCATGTACAACCATCTTACATGAATACCTTTATTCTTACCATATTTGATACAAAAAGTACATCTCTATTTTTTCCCGTTTATAGTTTTAACTAAAGAAACATTTGGTGTCTAAAGATATTAGCAGGTTGTTAGATCAGTGAGGCTCAGCAGGACCTTTCTGTCTCCATTTAACGCAGCAGAAACAGTGAATTCATGGCAGCTCGTTTGTGTTTACTTACAGAACCTTTATGGAAGAAGTAGTTCTTTCCGAAATACAAGAACCTGTATTATAAATGTATAGAAAACAATGAGATGTAAATAGAAAGAAAGAAAGAAATCCACCAGAGTGTTTCTAATTCAAGATTTAAGGCCAGATTACAAAAAAATAGCTTTATTGCTTCTTGATTTTTGCTTTTTTTTTTAATGAAAAACATTAAACATTAGGAACTAGAGTTTTGGTGAACGCACATCACTGCCTCTGATATCATTGATGAACACAGGGTTTTATAAATGATGTATTACATACCATAAACGTCCTGTTTACAACTTATGATTTAAACTAGAATAAATTTTGCTCTACAGATGCAGCAGAGATAAATAGACTGTTTATAAATCCTAAAGAAAGTTTCCACTTTCCACATTGAAGAGATGCATGATGGGAAAATCCCCCCTGAGGAACGTAGTGTCGTAGTTTAGCGATTAAACCAATGCTTGGTCACTTGTTTAAAATATCCCCTTTTCTTCCTAAATTAAATCCTTCTAGCACTTAAAACTAAATTAGTTTAACTTTCCAACTTAACAGCACTTAATATTTATGCACCCGTTTATGTTTTTACTCTATTTTTATAAAATAAGCACAAACTTCTCCTTTAACAATCCTTATATTTATACTTTTACCTTAAAGTCACATTCTGCTTAAAAGCCATAATCCTAGTTTTATTCTTTAGATTTAGATAAAAAAATAAATATTACCTCAGTTAAGAAGCACAGAAACACACACAAAGCACAAATACCTTTTGCACAAGAAGGTGAGGAGTGTGGAATTATGCACTAAAACAAAGGATGCATGAATCAATCAGCGCGGCGGGGGTGTCCATGGAAAATACTTTGACTATTTTAAATATGATTATATGTAACAGTTTACCTTCAATAAATTCCTTTCTCATCACTTCTGTCTCATCTTTTCCTTTTACTACCAGTCTGAACCTTTAGAGGGCGCTATAACCAGGAAGTGACCTCAATGGGTCAATCAAACATGGTTAATCTATTCTAATTGTAAAATGTTTTAGTAAATCCTAACATCCTGTATTGAAACATTCTGCTGGGACATCATAGAGCTTGCTGTCATCGATCACACACTGAGCTTCACCCACAGCACTCATTTTATGACATCATTGACTGCAGCGCTATCACTATATATGTACACAGAAGCAAGAGATTTAGTTTCTGTTCTTTGCATTTTTGTTTTCATTGTGAAAGTGATGCAACATTTTATTAGCACCTTTTTTCTCAAGAGAAAATTCTGTCTCCTTTTGTAAGCTTTCTGTTGAGTTTGTCCACCAGGGGGAGCTTCAGTCATAAAGCCACTTCATGAACTGGAATAGAATTCTATTCAGTTCAGTTTATTTCTATAGCTCCAATTCACAACACATGTCATCTCAAAGCACTTAAAGTTCACCAGATCATCCAGTCAGATTGATTCAAAGTTTTCTGTTTAAGGAAAACCAGTTGATTGCATCAACTTATTGACTTGAAGGCAATCCCTCACACTAAGCATGCTTGTAGCGACAGTGGAGAGGAAAAACTTCCTTTTAACAGGAAGAAAAACGAAGCAGAACCAGGCTCAGTGTGAGCGGCCATCTGATGAGGCCGACTGGGGTTCAAGGAGACAGAAGCAGAGACACAAAAGGAACTTGTCAACCAGCTCCACAGACGGCCCCGTCTACGATAGAAATACTCTTTGTTGCTCCTCAATGGATGTGTACAAAGTTAAAGAGAAATAGAAGCATGCAGATTCACTCAAAGGTAAAAAGTGCATAAAAAAATTGAATATTGCATTAAGCTGTAAAATAAAAAATTGAAATGAAATTGTACAGTAAAACTGAATCTAAAATTTTTGAATACATATATTACTGCCAAGTTATGTGTGGTTTTTAGCTTCAGCTCCTGTTCAAACTTGGAAAACGGCTGGTCATCTCCACGAAGCACACTAGGCACAACCTTAAATCCTTTTTCATTGATTTAGGTTGAAAACTTTTCATACAAATTAACAAACAGAAATTTAATTAGTTCAAAACAAACATTTTTAAATTAAATATTTCCACTGTGGCTTGCCCACAAGCACAATATAAACTGAACATTAACAGGCCACAAGCAATATCTTCTAGTGATGGGTCGGGCAACACCGATGCGTCGGCGCATGTGTCGGTCTCATAGAGCGAAACCTGTGTCGACGTGTGTTTCGCTACGGAAAAGTCACGTGACCGAAACAGTTCCTGTATCGGTCACGTGACCGATGTTTCGAACTGATTGACAAGCCTTTATAAGGATGCGCATCTGCCAACGAGATGCATCTGCCAAAACAATCTTGCGTGTTTTGCGAATATAAAATTCATCAAAAATTATGGAGCTTCCTCAAGCAAAAAGAAAGGTTTCTGCCGTGTGGGACCACTTTGATGTCATTTCGGAAAATAAGGTATTTGTTTTAATTTCCTTGTTTCATCCTGTTCCTCTCAGAGTTTCCACTTGATTCATGTACTAAAATACTTTTTTTTTTTTTTAAGATGACCTTTGGGAACATTTTGATCTCGAAGTGGGGAGGCAGACCAAAAGTGCCACAGCTGATGCCATCCTTGAGGTGCAGAGATACATGGCAGAGGGCAATATTGCGAGGTCCCAGGATCCTCTTGTATATTGGAAAAACTAAAGGACGGTTTATCCAAACCTCTTCCGCCTGGCCTTAAAATTTTTGTGCACTCCAGCTTCATCTGTGCTGTGTGAGCGGGTGTTTTCCACAGCTGGAGAACTAATATAAAAAAGCGCAACAGACTGAATTTCAAAACTTATTTTTTTTAATAAAAATTTGTAAAAAAAAAAAAAAAAAAAAAAAATACCAGTGAACAAGCATCTTCATTTACTACATGTTTACTTAGACTTAGACTTGACTTTATTAATCCCTTGGGATTACTCCCTTCGGGAAATTGTATTTCCAGTAGCAGGAAAAATTGCACATACAAGAAAATAGAGGATGTTTAGACACAGTATATACAATAGAAAATAAAATCAATTAAATAAGGTGTAGGAAGATGTATTGGGGGATGAGGATAGACAAATAAATACAGATTAGAGATTATTAAATTATGATGCAGGTTCTCATTATTCATTGACTGTTTCTAAAATATCAAATATGTTTTAATAATAATACAATGCATCATACAATGAATTGCATCATATTAGTGTATATAATAGGTCATCAAATCAGTGTCAGTTAACTCTGTCAACTAGGTTGCCTGTAGGGATTTTTAATGTCCAGCAGGTGTCAGTATTCAGTGACACAGTATCGACACAGTATCAGTACAGTTTGGTAATGTGTCGAAACGTTTCATGACGCCTCATCAACCCATCACTAATATCTTCTAAATCAACTTCTGCCTTTTAATAAACAATATCTTAATCCCTAACCTAGTTTCCTCCTTACCAGTTGTGTATCTGGTGATTAGACCGTGAGCTGAAACATTGCTGGGAGCCGGTCTCTTCCTTTGTCTGCCTAAACTGCCACACAGGTGTGTGCAGGTGTTTAATCACAGGAATGCGCACCCAGGTCCCAACCCCCAACACAAGTTCACCCCTCTTTTCTCCCATCATTCTTCTGTTTGGACATGACAATTACTAAAACTAGGAGGGGGAATCAAAGGAAGACTCGCTTCATCGAACATAACATTTATATATATTTGTTCATATGAAAACAAAAGGCTGTTTGCAAGAATATAAAAGTGCTAAATAGCAGAGATGTGGGCATTTATTGAGTTTATTAAGAGCAGAGATGGTTATAAAGTCTGGTAGCTGCTGAGAGGAAGGATCTGTGACGCCATTAGTCATGAAATCCACCTTAAATGTAGCGCTTCGATTGTTTGTTAGGTCAGACCTGTTCAACATGGACGCTCTTGATGCCGCATCAACTGAGCAGTGAAAATAGTCGTTTTTAGACTATTTTTGGTGGTGCTGAAGCAACTTTAAATTAAATCATAGCACTCCTACAATATGGGTTGTTTTTTTATGTTGTTTGCCATATTTTAAAATAAAAAAAGTAAAACAAAATCATACTAAATATAGAACAGTCTAAAAACTATACAGTACATGGATAAAAAAATGATATATATAAAAAGTACTTTCAAGCAGAACTGTATATATTTACCTTGTTACCGGTAAATAAAATCCATTTTAGGATTGCAAGTCCAAAGAGGAAGAGGGAAGGAGAGGAGCAAGGTGTAAGGTCAGGAATTACCAGGTAAGTTTCTCTACAGCTCGTCCAAGACGACAAAAACACAAAAGTCTCCGATCAGATGTGCTGAAAATATATGTATAAAACACTGAAATGTATCCAGCCTTTACCCTGAGCGTCTGATCCTAGAATGGCCTCTGGCCTACAGGCTTATAGAGGCACCAGTGCTGAACTACTGAGGTGTCATTCAGCTCATCAAACCATGTTTTAGGCATAAAAGGTCAAATAAAAAATATATTCTACAGATATTTTTCAGTAAAAACGTACAAAATGCCTCTAATTTTGGAGATTAACAGTCAAATTTTTTCATAATAATAAACTTATGAGATTATTATTTGATAAATAAAGGTTTTAACTAAATCAGGATCAGAATCCCTCTAAAACCTTCTTCTAATCTAAAGCGTCTTTCCTTCCGTCTGTGATATTCAGGAATAAGCTCTGCCTCATTCCACAGAGGAGGGTCTGATGTTTGCAGGAGATAACCGGGCGAGGAGAACAAAGGTCAAGTGCAAAGGTCACGCAGAGGTATGGGTTTGTGCAGTTAGTACCTGCAGAAGCCAGGCAGCATGTGATGAAGCGGCGGTTAATACTGGAGCGGAAGGACTCTGAGGACGACGGTTTGCTCTGTAGATGCTGGGATGGTTTTCCTCAGACGGAGGCGGCTGCTTCGCTACCTGCTGCTGTCCACCACGCTGGCTCTGCTCCTCCTAATCAGCTCCTTTTGGCTGCGTAAGTTCTCCTCTGCTCCTCGGTGCGCTCTGCCATGCTGGCTCCACCTACGGGTAGTTATTACTGTTATCGCTGACGCAGCAGAAACACCGGGTCATGGTCACCTGCAGGTATTACATTCATTCAAGCTGGTAACTGTTTGAACATCGTCTGTAAATCTGTTAGAGAATCTGGGCCTCAGTGGATTTATTTTAGCAAGTCTTTATTTGCTTTTTCTGAACGACAATTATTTCAGTACTGCTAGAAAGTAAAGCTTTCCTTTAGAGATAAAGCAAAAGGTTTATTAGCAAATTATTGCTTTGCTGATTTTTTAAATAAAGTCTGCCATATTTACCTACTTCTCACAAGTGTAACCATTTTTTCAACAACCAGTCATTAAAGGAGGCACCTATGAATCCTCTGGGTCAGCAGGTGGGGTGCAAACTTTAAATTAACAGCTCAGAAGAAAAGCAGCAACTTGTGCATACCTCTGGCACTGATCTCTAGTTATTCAGTGGATTACTGATTGCCCGAAAAAGTGAAGCCACCGTCCGCCATATTGGTACTCCCCACTAAAAATGTCTACATGTGTAGCATTTGGCTGCAAAAATAAGCAGTTTGTCGGCAGTGGGAAGACGTTCCACAGGCGATTTCACTGTCAGTGTATGAACTATCCAAGAAAATCCAACTACACTGCAAAAACAATCTAGAAATAGGTAAAGAATTCTTAAATTAAGTGTTTTTACTCTTAATTTGAGTAGGTAAGTAAGAGGATTTGCCAATGGAATGAGTATTTTTTTATTTTAAATAAGATAATTAGTTAAAACTCACTTGAAATAAGACAATGCAATTGTTTTTTCTTATTTTAAATGTAAAGTGCCTTGTTCTATTGGCAAAGTGTCTCACTTACCTCCTCAGTTCAAGAAAAAATGCACTTATTTTAAGAATAATTTACTTTAAATTTTTTGCAGTGTATACGCTGATTTATCCTATAGTATTGTATGTAGGGTAACATTAGTGTAGCTATCTGGGAGTGACTCAAAGACATTGACTGAGTTAGTCATTGACATTGTGTCTAACGTTAAAAAACAGCCTCTTACACTAGAATAAATCAGATTAGATTAGATGAGGTTTATTGATCTCACAGCGGAGAAATTCACTGGTCACATATTGGCATAGTAATTAAAGAAGGAGGAAAAAGGTGCATTAAGAATAAGCAATATATATACAGTATATCAAGATAAATAAGGGTTAAGGTGCAGTGTACATGTATCACACACAATGAAAAACAAAATAAAATAAAAAAATAAAAATTCTAAATATAGATGTTGTCGGAAAATTTTTATCTTTCTTCTATTATATATTAATTTATCATATTTACTCACTATAAAAGTTTTCACTCGGTCTGTTTCTCTCTCAAGGCCACACCATTCTCTGCAGTATGTTGTTTGTAGACCAGACATAGCTTCTTCCCATAACAATCCAGATTCTTTCTCAAGGTTTATTCATAACATGTTACTGTTAAGCAAAGTGTGTGTAATTTGTTTTGACTCTGACTACTTTCGATTGTTGTAAGTAGGAGGGGGGGATGAACCCTGGCCAGATCAGAACAGAGCAGAATGCTGTGCCATGAAAAGTATTTTTTTTCTTAAAATAAGTGCATTTGTTCTTGGATTGAGTAGATAAAAGAGACATTTTGCCAACGGAACAAGACAATTTACACTTAAAATAAGAAAACATAAACGCATTGTTTTATTCAAGTACATATTATCTAATTATCTTATTTTAAGAGTAAAAAAATACTTATTCCATTAGCAAACGATCTCATTTACTTACTCAAATTCAGGGTAAATACATTTAATTTTATACATTTTTTACTTATTTCTAGATGGTTTTTCCAGTGCACATCCACCTCACTTTGAAGTAATCCTCACATATTTTGCATACCCAAATGGAAAAGCAAATAACTTAGGAACTATAAGCCCAAATTACATGTGCAATACATTATTTGAAAGCTAATACCCTCCAGTTTCTGAATATATAAAATTGGGTGATAAAACACAACCCAAGCTGATTCAGTTCAAACATCTTCAACTTGTTCTTTTTAATTCTCAAAAATAAACATGCTTTTTTTGAAGAGCAGTAATAAAGACCTGCTTGCTTCACTTCCACCTGTTATACCAACGGGTAATCAGCAATCCAGTGAATAAATAGAGATCAGTGGGCTTCAGAGACCCTTTGCTTCCTCCATTCAGGACCAATAATCTGAAGCTTCACTGATGTTCACCATCGTTTGCCTTTTTGTTATTTAGCGTAAATCTGAGAATCGTTACCCTTAGAATAAGCAGCTATTTCTCAGAGCTACTAGAGTCTGCCAATGCCTCAGCTCTGCCTCATGTGACTTCAACCTTCTAATCCTAATGGTGCAGAATGCTTTCATGTTGAATTTGCATCATAACCACAAGTTAATGTCTATATACTCTGAATAAGTCAAAAATTAAGAAAAAGACAACTTATGTCGTTTTTTTCCCCAGAGAAATTAATGCTTTTATCCTGCACCACTCCAGACTGTCTCTGAATCAGAATCAGAATCGGGTTTATTGCCATTGTTAGTGAAGGAGTTCACAACTAGGATTTTTTTATGGTACAATTGTGCAACATGAAACATATAAGTGAAATAGGTAAATAAAATTATAAAAATCTCTAAAAACACTGGGGTATAAGGCATGCAAAAAATATACTAATATATACACTTAGGATAAGAATATGGATAAATAAAAAAATATATATAAAAAAAGTCTCTGTATATATATTATATTTTTTTTAATGACACAGTTGTTGCTATAACCTTTTAATTTCTCTGTTTGTCCTCAGCTCAGGGCGAACAAGGAAACTGCGGCTCACTCTGGCAGCCATGTTTGAATAACTTCCGCCAAACGGTATGACCGTCACTAACAATGTGCTCCCATCCAGGGACACATGCAGAACTACAAAGGAGTATTTTAACTGTATTATTAGACAAATGAGCCGAGTGATTACAAAACACAACTCTCAAATTGGGATTTCCCTCATAACGGGGAATCTTACAATTACTAAACAAACCACACTCCATGTGGAAAAGTAATCAAACCCAATGGGGGATCCAAAGGAACAACCTGAGAGCAGAAAAAATGGCTGACATACCCCCAGTCAGCATCTAGGCCTTCTCACAGCCTACAGAATTAACATATAAGGTGATGATGAAGCCGCTCTGGCCAACATGTGTCTATTTTGGCTGACCGATATAGAATATAGAAATGAATGGATCTAACAGTTATTTAACACAGAAAATAATATAAAAAGGAATTCATCTTTAACAAGACATTATTTACGTCCAAACGATGTCTACATTTGGTTGAAAAGTGAAGGATGAAAGATCAAAAAGTCATAATTTTCAGATTGATGAAAAGATGTTGATAGCCCAGCTATCAACATCTTTTCAACGTCTATAACTCAACTAAAGTCGAACAAAATCAGAACGACCTAACGCTGGGCAATTTTCAACAACAACCGATCAGATTTAGCCTAAAAAGCAACTTTTAATGGTGTTTTTGGGGGTAGGGTGGGGAGTATTGTCAGCTGAACAGATCCATTTCTTACTTTATGGAAGAAACTCCTTCATTTTTCACAACACAGGTTAGTTTAGACAATTATTTCCTTAATAAATAAAATCAATAATAATCACTCTACTCAGAGTGTACTGATTATAGAGACTGTTTGCAACATTTAAGGACAAATTTATCACTTATGTTTTGACTCACTGCTCAAAATCAGAATTACATAAACACATAAAAAGAAAAATATATATACAATAGAAATATGATTAAACAATTTTCAGAATAAAAGCACATGTTCTGAATAACTGTGAATGGTTTTCAGCCTTTGGATCCTCCCGTCCTGGCTGAATGGCTGCAGACAGAAGAAGAAGAAGCGGTCTTCATAAAGGAATGTCCTGGACAGACGTTTCAGGCCAGGAAGCTGCTGCTTTATCTCAGATCCAGCTTGGCTGAAGATGGCGAGGACATCCTGCTGGAGCCATACCTGCTTAGCTGGGATCAGCTTCTCAAGTAAACAAGCTAACTGCATTTAAAGTCTGAAAAGGAGCAACACTGAAGACCTGATAGATGTGTTTAATTAACTCCTCCAAACAAAGACAGGCCAGAAGATTCAACCTTTATAGGACAAGTTACACAAGTTGTATACCCCTTACAAATGGAGTCCCCCCCCCCCCCCCCCCCGTCCCTCAGGGAGGTCTAGAAGCACAAGATCTATATTCAGACATTCAGCAAAAATGCTGCTACATGGCTGGGCATCTTATTTTAGCATTTGGCCAATTAGATGAGCCCTTGAATGATATATTACCTACTGGAAATTAAGTTTTTAAAAAAATTAACAAGTGAAGAAAAAAGGTAAAATGCTCATTGAAAAGTTAAAAGGTAAAGTTAAAAAAGTTACACAAACTAGTTACGGTAACAATTATATTTAGGTTTATAATGTAAAAAAAAAAAATAAGAGCCAGTATCAACATTAATGCCTTTAAGGTTATGTATGTGTTGTAGTGGTTATCATCTTCACCTCACATTCAAAAGGTCCTCGGTTTGAAACCAGGTGGAAACACCATTTATTAGATTAGATGAGCTTTATTGATCTCACAGCGGAGAAATTCACTCGTCACATATTGGCATAGAAGTTAATTTAACTTTAGTTTAAGAAAAATGTGCATTAAGAATAAGCAATATATATACAGTATATCAAGATAAATAGGATTAAGGTGCAAGTGTACCGCACTGTATCGCACACAATGAAAAACAAAATAAAGATAAGAAATGAGGAAAGCTTAAAGGAAAGCTCTGTGTTTACACCTTGAAACTTCCTCTCTCCGGTTCTTTTCCCTGAAAAGAGATCACTTTGTGCAAAATAGTAAAATAACACTTCATAACGTACACTCACCGGCCACTTTATTAGGTACACCTGTCCAACTGCTCGTTAACACTTAATTTCTAAGCAGCCAATCACATGGCGGCAACTCAGTGCATTTAGGCATGTAGACATGGTCAAGACAATCTCCTGCAGTTCAAACCGAGCATCAGTATGGGGAAGAAAGGTGATTTGAGTGACTTTGAACGTGGCATGATTGTTGGTGCCAGAAGGGCTGGTCTGAGTATTTCAGAAACTGCTGATCTACTGGGATTTTCACGCACAACCATCTCTAGGGTTTACAGAGAATGGTCCGAAAAAGAAAAAACATCCAGTGAGCGGCAGTTCTGTGGGCGGAAATGCCTTGTTGATGCCAGAGGTCAGAGGAGAATGGCCAGACTGGTTGGAGCTGATAGAAGGGCAACAGTGACTCAAATAACCACCCGTTACAAGCAAGGTGGGCAGAAGAGCATCTCTGAACGCACAGTACGTGGAACTTTGAGGCAGATGGGCTACAGCAGCAGAAGACCACACCGGGTGCCACTCCTTACAGATAAGAACAGGAAACTGAGGCTACAATTTGCACAAGCTCATCGAAATTGGACAATAGAAGATTGGAAAAACGTTGCCTGGTCTGATGAGTCTCCATTTCTGCTGCGACATTCGGATGGTAGGGTCAGAATTTGGCGTCTACAACATGAAAGCATGGATCCATCCTGCCTTGTATCAACAGTGCAGGCTGGTGGTGGTGGTGTCATGGTGTGGGGAATATTTTCTTGGCACTCTTTGGGCCCCTTGGTACCAATTGAGCATCGTTGCAACGCCACAGCCTTCCTGAGTATTGTTGCTGACCATGTCCATCCCTTTATGACCACAATGTACCCAACTTCTGATGGCTACTTTCAGCAGGATAATGCGCCATGTCATAAAGCTGGAATCATCTCAGACTGGTTTCTTGAACATGACAATGAGTTCACTGTACTCAAAATGGCCTCCACAGTCACCAGATCTCAACCCAATAGAGCATCTTTGGGATGTGGTGTAACGGGAGATTGGCATCATGGATGTGCAGCCGACAAATCTGTGGCAACTGTGTGATGCCATCATGTCAATATGGACCAAACTCCCTGAGGAATGCTTCCAGCACCTTGTTGAATCTATGCCACAAAGAATTGAGGCAGTTCTGAAGGCAAAAGGGGGTCCAACCCGTTACTAGCATGGGGTACCTAATAAAGTGGCCGGTGAGTGTATATGTATTAGGGAGGCATGACAACAGATTTTGATATAAACTGTAATCTTACTCAGATCAGAGAAGTTGCTTAGAGTTACAGAAGGCAGCCCTGGGCTCACCTCTCAGGAAGTGGCCCCGATTAAAAGATAAAGAGGAATTTTATACATCTCCAGTTTGCCACATCATTACATCATCACATCATAGATGTTAGCAGATGAGGAGGCATCCATGCCTCCGGCGTCATCAAAATATTTTACTTTGTTCCTAGCTGAAGGATGCTGCTCTCATTCCATTTCCAAATCTTTGCCAGGTACAGAATAAAGAATATAACTGTATTATAATTAGATAAACTTTTTGGAGAAACATCAGTTCTGATAAGCAACAGGCAGCTAATATTAGGGTGTAATAAACTCACATCATCAATGATAATGATCCTAAATTGTATATAAATGTATTTCCTAAATGTGTTTCTTATTGAAGCACTTTATTTTTTATTTTTCTATATATATCAGGGGAAGATGGTGTTTCTTGTTATTACATTGACATTAATTTTTGCCATCAAACTATCAAAGGTAATAAGTTCTTCTCCTAGATCCCAATAAACCTATTGGCTTAAAATTTAGATCAGTGCCCTAAAAAGGGTTAAGATTGTGTCTATTTGGCTTTTTTTTTCTTCTGATTTGGTGATGATTTAGTATTAAAAATAAATCCTGTGCTACACAGGCAGTTAGAGAATTCTCCAGAGATTTCTTAACACCTAAAAGGTCTTTTCTGTGTGCCTTTTGGAACATTCCAGCTACTCTCCCAGAACTTGACGGTGCAGGTATTTGATAATTGGCTTTTTTAAACTTGAAAATGATCACAAAGATGAGGAAAAATAAATTAGAAATCATTATTTAACTGATATATTGTGAAGGAACAGGATAAAGTGAGCTAATTATAGGTATAGTGGAGGATGTTCTTTTTCTGAGTGGATCATCTAAATAAGTGGTCCTCCTAACTGTTAATCATTCTGGTGAGATGTTAATGTACTGTAAGGCAAACGTGCTTGTCCCCATTTTCACTTACCGGTGGTGACTCTGACATAGTGGAAAAATTGCTAATCTTCTTTTATAAATTTGTATGAGCGATGCAAACAGCAACTTTTAAACAGAGCTTGCATGCTCTCGCACGCATTTAATAGGCCTTCCCTCTGGGGAGCGGGTATAGGGTTCTGCATGTGCATTTTTTTTTTTTTAAATGGAAAGGATGGATCTTTACAAAAATGTGCGAAAATCCTCCACTATACCTTTAAATCCTATCCCCAAGCTAAACTTTCTTGAACCTTTAGCCATTGAGTTCAAGAAATAGTATCCAGGTTGGTGCAGGAACATAAATAGACTATTCTAATGAATGCTCCAGCTGAGTACCAGCTAAATTCAGAAATATTTACATAAGTTCCTGGCAAGTTCAAAGTTACAGGAAAGTCGTCTATACATCCCGGAAACTAGTATGTAGTGCTGCAGGGTATTGTTTAAATTCGAAAGACAAATCTCCCTTTATTTTTTCTTCTGTATGCAGACGCTGATGGACAAAGAACAAATTCACTTGGAACTAATCCATAGATGTGAGCAGACTCTAAAGCTGACTGTTGACAGTTGTGCAAGAATTTTTCGATTGGGCTGATTTTCAGCCTGATCGTGCGTCATGTACCGGGGGTAACGAGGGGTGATCAGCCTCTCACGACCACCTCCCGATCAGAAATCTTGAGGTCAGAAGAAAATCAAACATGTTTGAAATTCAGTCGGCCGTCATTAGGTGGTCATGGGCGAATCGCTCAGTGGGCATGCACACACAAGGATTCTTCTTCCAGACGAAAACACAAAAGCATGTTTTAAGACGTACAGTGTGAGCAGGTAGATCGCATCAGAGTGTCGGGTTGCACAGTGTGAGAACAAACATCGTGAGCTGTGAACTCACACTGTACGATAAAACCGCAGGGTTTTGTCCTACAGTGTGAGCTGTAGCTGCGTGCAACGATTGAGAAAAATCGTACTGAATATCCGGCTTAGGAGGATTTGGCCGTTGCTAGCTGGCTTATAGTCACAGTTTGTATTTATGAACCTTATAATAAGTGCAAATCTAAAATCAAGTTGAAATATTGAATACTTTCCTTTTTATCCTCAGCTTCATGGAGTCTCTGGGAACAATGGTCAGTTTATTTTCTCAGAAAGTGAAAGAAAAGACCGAACTGATTCGAGAGCTCTCCCTGAAACATGGTTTAGAGTTTCAAAGGGAATCAGCGGGTTCCTCTGGACTACAGGCCACAGCAGCATTTGGATCAAAGACCGGGGTGAGACCTAATGTTTATGTCATATACACGTAGAGACCGGTTTATCTACAATTTCAGCTACATTCTCTTCTAAACAATTCCCTAAAAGGTGTACCGATCTGTTCGATCCATGGTGGAGGGGGAGCTTAAAGCGGGCCAGGTCAACTTCTCCTATCGCACGGATTCAGGCTGCAGAACTCTGCTGCGGCTGCATCGATCCCTGCTCTGGCTGAAGATGATGTTAGAGGGTTTGTCTAAAGGACCAGACTCTGAGGGACGATACAAAACGCCTGGAGAGCTCAGCAGGTAGCAAAACTATGACAGATTAATCTAAAGTAGAATTTATAATTATTTAGACAACCTTTTCCAAACAGTAGTGAGAAGTATTATTCACAATATGCCATTACTGCAGATGATATAACTAAACACTCCATCTCCCACTACTAAAGCCTGGTTAGTAGATGTGGAGTTTGGAAGCTGAGGCAGAGGCAATTCAGCAAAAACACAAGATTTATTTTACGTCTGCAGACGGAGAGGAAAAAGCTCTGACGGAGGCAAGCTGAGCACCGACATTTATACAACAACTCCCAATAGACACACATTCTCCCAGGGCAACCAACCCACCCCTGCATACAAAAAACTTCCTCACACACGAACATTTGGAGGAAAACAACTTCAGTTCATCAAGGACATTCCCTGAAAGGTCAATATATCCTTCACTGGCCAGATAAACATTGCAGAACAGGTGTCTTCTGTTCACGGCATGAGGGAGGCTGTGTGACCCAAATTCTTTATTTCTCATGACTCATGAGCCTGGAGACTGGTACAAGACTTCTCTACAATCACTCCTATTAAGGCAGAATAAAGGCACACTCAAAATATTTCATCTCACAATTAGGCCGAGGAAAAACACAATTTCACATAGGACATACAGGAGAGATGGAGAGCAAAGTTTAAATAACCACTGCATTTTGAACTGTAAAGTGCCTTGATATCGCTTGTGTTGTGAATTGGCGCTATATAAATAAACTGAATTGAATTGCATGACTTTATAAAGATGCATCTGGATGGATTTGGAGATTCCTGTGGAAATTTCTGTTGGACAAAAGAAAACAAACTAGATTACTGGCAGGAACTATTGGAGGACTGATGAGTTAGGCATGTCAATCCCAAGCTTTACGCCTACATATTTAAAATGTGAGGCCATCTGAACAACAAGTAAAGTTTGGTCCAAATTGGATCATCAATGGGGAGATGATCCCAAATGCAGTTCCAGTTCACCCTTCAACCTGCTTGAAAAGCTGTGCTTGAACCTTTGGGAGCTAAGAGTGAACACATATCTGAAAACCTTATAGATTGAAATAATTTTGTAAAGAAAGCCAGGCTAGAAGTCAGAAACCTCCAATTGAGAAATATTGCCTCTAAATGTGGTTCAACAAGTTTTCAGATCAGAGAATATTCATTTCATATAATAATTAATAATGGAACTTTATTGATCTCACATTGGAGAAATTCACTCTCTGCATATAACCCATCCCCTCGGGAAGCGGTGGGCTGCCATCGAGCAGCTGCCATTCAGAGTGGCAGTCTGTGGGAGGCTCGAACTCACAACCTCGGGATTCCTAGCCTCATGAAACCATCCTGATCTCGCGACCTTTCAAGGTTTAACTCGCAGATCAGTCTGGAGACTCTCCGTTAAAGAAAATTTGGAGCCGTTCACCAAACGAACGTCCAATCAGCGTTGGCTTTGAGGCGGGTTGAGGTGTGACGCAACGAGAAGCGCGACAGTTCAGTCTAAAGAACATGGCGGCTTCAGCCGATGAAACTAGCGTTAGCGTGGCTATCGAGCAAGTTTTATCGGAATTACAGAGTATTTCTTCACTGAAAGAAGAGCAAAACACTGCTCAGGAGGCTTTTCTCAGAGGAAAAGATGTTTTTGCTCTTCTCCCGACTGGTTTCGGCAAGAGTAGCCTGGCTGTTAGTATGTTATATGCTTCGTTGATCTGATTGGTTTATTTGGCCCGTCTATCACCAACATAGGCCAATCAGCTAACCAGTATGTTCGCCCCTTCCCAAAATTACTTCAACGGAAGGTTTCCAGATGGATATGCGGAGCAAATCCATCTGGCGGAGTCTGGTTACTGGATTCCAAGCTGTATGGCCTAAACACTAGGCCGCCACTCCCCGTTTTTTTTGTTTTTATTTTTTATTATTGGGTTTAATACAGCTCAGTGAAGCAGTAGATAGCACTGCTGCAAGAAGGTTCCGGGTTTGATTCCCGGCCCGGGGTCTTTCTGAATGTTGTTTGCATGTTCTCTCTGCCCATGCGTGGGTTCTCTCTGGGTACTCCAGCTTCCTCCCACAGTCCAAAAACATGACTGTTGGATTAATTGGCTTCTCTAAACTCTCCTTAGGTGTGAGTGTGCATGAATGGTTGTTTGCCCATTGACAGCTGGAGATAGGCACCAGCTCCCCTCACGACCTCGCTTGGGATAAGCGTGACGGAAAATGGATGGATGGAAGGGATTAATATAGGCGGTTTATGAATGTTGGTGTGTCTTATTAAGTGTTGTGGATTATTTATTTATGTGAAATATGAAATTTAGCTCACAGTTGCCCATTTTCATTGCCCAGAGATGCCTATAAGGTGGCGCTGGCCCCCCACCACCCCTGGATGCTCCGTCAGGCGGCGGAGATCGTTTTCCTCGCTCTTCCCGACAGAGAGTACTTCCTGCAGCTGGTGTGTGTGAAAAAACAGGAGGAGGCCACGCCTGTGCTGCGCATCATCATCCAAGCCCTTTCGGTAGTGCACACACGGACTCAACGGATCCTTAAGAAGTACGACATGTTGGAGCTGCCCTGAACACGACACGGCCCCCTCTGAAGACTGAAACATCCTGTCACTACTCAGCAAGAAAGACAATAGAGACTTTAGAAATACTGGTGGTCTGGAATAAAAGATATTTAATGCTTTTTTATGTTGATGGTACAAAAATGCAAGTTTTTAATGAGGGGTAATTTATTAACTACTGTTTTTAACAGCAGTAACATATGTAAGATTTAATTTTATCTTTAATTATTAGCGGGTCTCTGCCTTTTAGCTAGTTATTCTAATTATATGGTATGCCCTCGGGGATAAAATAACATTTAGGTAGACACCAAATACTTTGGAAGATCCAAGTCTTGGTTACTATGGTTACCTATTGTATTTTGGAGGAGCAGATGGAGAAGCAACTGAGACAATTCTTGTATCTAGACTTCCTAACCAAGCAGTAAACCTTGTCCTGACCACGCTCACAATTATTTGTGTCAAAATTGCTGTGGAACCTGAGGAAATACTCTTTACAGACATTTTAACATTTGCGTCTTACAAGGCTTTGATTTACTCCACTCTGTAAAGCCTTGAACTCAACGCTACTATTTTAAGTGAAAAAGCTTCCTGGATGGGAAGAGAAACATCTTCAAACTTGGAATCAAGTCCAGTGGATTGTTTTTTTTTTTTTTTTTTACTGATGTTGATGTTCAGAGGGTTCATTATGTGGGAAAATCCTGCTTGGACAACGCCAAATTGTTTTAGGAAAATATTTTTCAATTATTCACTCCAGTTAAACAAAACGGATCGACGGATTTCACTCAGTCAGCTTTTTATTACATCTTTGCGAAGACAAAACAAGATGTCATACAGCCCTTAATGCACGGTAATCAGCCCTGTTCTGATCTGGCTAGCGTTTGTCTTCCTTACTTACAATTATGGAAAGAAGTCGGAGTCAAAACAAATTACAGATACTTTGGTTAAACAGTAAAAATGTTATGAATAAATCTTGAGAAAGGATCTGGCTTGTTATGGGAATAATAGTAATAATATAACTCAATATATGAAATAAGATAAATCTAAATTTTCTGACTACACGGTGTTAAAGAAAAATTATTATTTTTTAGACTTTAATACAGTTAATCTTATGGCATGTGTAAATACTCTCACTTGAACATATTTCTTAATTTTGAATAAGGCTGTGTTGATGATTTAAAACTACTAATGGGTAAGTATTTAGAGCACCAGGCAATAGAATGAGTATCTCCTGGGGGGTGAATAACAGTTAAGCCTGCAGGAGAGATTTCTGCTTGGTTTACAGAAGGTCAAAAGTCTTCCAGAATAAACAACCAGGGATGGTGCGAAACTGAATCAGGAAAAAGGCCCCCGCATTCCACAAGCTGTCTGTGGAAGCTTATCTTGTGTTTTATGACTTTAAGAATTCTAGATGCCAGGACAAGCTTTCCGCCTTTTCTTGTTAAAACAAAGAAGCAAATGACCCCAGATGTTTGCAGTAAATTAGGTAAAGTTTTAGGGAGTGTCAGAGATGGCTTTTGGTTGGAGGACCGAGGGCCAGCCCTTTTTGAATGGATTAGATACAAGAGGATAAAGCTTTCTAAATAGAAGTTACAGATCAGATTTGCCCTTGCAACTCTCCAAAGATGTCTCTGTACTCTTTGCTTTCTTTCCTCCTATGTCAGGTAATGGAATGTATGTCTCTGTTGTTCTGCAGTTTTGTTGTTAATTCATAAGTTGTTTTTTGTTGGATTAAATTCTGTGATTCTGTGACGTTCGCATATCTTGCTGGTTTTCCTTGGGAGCCACACGCAGCTCGCTGAGCGCACCTGGGAGAGGAAGAGAAACACCCAACCTTTTTCCAAAGTTAACTATTTAGAATATTTTCTTCCTTAACAATTGGGGGCTCGTGCCGGTTCTGGAATCTCGGCGGGCGGCTGTTTGGTCCTGATTGATCCGTCTCGGCCCGACGCTTCGGTGTGGTAAGACAGTATTTGATTATTTTTTAGTTGTCTGAAGCGCCGTGTGGTCGGACCGGGGCTGATTTGCTGTGTGCGGCCTCACAGAATTCAGATGCTGCAGAGGTAGATAGAATCCCTTCTAAAAGAGTCGGTTGTTTAAGGATTTGAATAAATACACATTACAGGGAACTGTGGCTAGTTCAAACAGAGCCTTTACGTTAACTCTGACTTAAGCTGGGTTTTAAAAAATGTATATTCTTTTTACCCTGAGGAGTGTAAAGGAAGAAAATATTCTAACATAGTTAACTTTGGAAAAAGGTTGGCTTTTCATTTTCTTCCCTCTCCAGGTCCACCCGGCGAGCTGCGTTTGGTAATATGAAAATCAGCAAGGCGTGTTGACATCACAGAATTACAGAGTTTAATCCAATATAAGACAATGCATAAACTTAGAAATAAGACAATGCACAAACCTAAACCAGAAACTGCAGAACAACAGAGACATACATTCCATTACCTGACATAGGAGGAAAGAAAGCAAAGAGTACAGAGACATCTTTGGAGAGTTGCAAGGGCAAATCTAATCTGTAACTTCTATTTAGAAAGCTTTATCCTCTTGTATCTAATCCATTCAAAAAGGGTTGGCCCTCGGTCCTCCAACCAGACGCCATCTCTGACACTGCCTAGAGCTTCCCCTTATTTACTGCAAACATCTGGGGTCATTTGCTTCTTTGTTTTAACAAGAAAAGGCGGAAAGCTTGTCCTGGCATCTAGAATTCTTAGGGTCATAAAACACAAGATAAGCTTTCACAGACAGCTTGTGGAATGCGGGGGGCCTCACCATAAATTTTCAGGAACAAACTTAAATTTAGTAATCTGGTTCAAGGAAAGGTTATCTTCACAAACTTGTTCAAAATAAGAAATATGAGAAAAGGAGAGTATACAACATACCTTTTACACATGCCATAAGATTAACTGTATTAAAGTCTAAAAATAATCATTTTTCTTTAACAGGAGCAATGCCTGGGCCTCTAAAAAAAGTATTTTGGAAATTTGTGTATTGGTTAGTTTTGGCTTGTATCAGCCGGAGATTTCGACTCATCTCCAGTGGACTTATAATTATTTGGGTTAATTGGATCGAGTTGTATCACTCATGGAAAAGGACTAATAGCAGGTTAATTGGACCGAGTTGTATCACTCGTGGAAAATAAAGGACTAATAGCAGGTTGGATCACCTTTCTTTGGCACCCTTAATCGGGTTGCTTATAGTATAAAGGACTAAAATAGATTATTTGATTTAGTACGGGTTCAATCGCTCTCCCCAGCTGAAAAAGAAAAAAAAAAAAAACCTTTTGTCACTGGGCGGATTGATTGATCGAATAAACTAAATTGAGGCTTATTTTCGCCTCGAGCTTGACCCAGCTCTGAAGTGTTGGACTGAGAAGTTGAAATGAGAATAAAAGGGATTTTTAAAATTGAAATTGGAAAATTAAAAGATGCGTCATACATTCTTTTAGCCGGCACCTGACATTTTCTTTTCTGTCTTTTCTTGACTGAACTACAACGTTGTCTGTGTTTCTGTGTTTTGTAAGTTTCTTTGTGTTTGTGTGCGTGCTTGGCTGCGGGTTGATCTATTGCTGTGTCTGTCTCCCCCCGTTATACTGTATGTTCCACCACGCGCTGCTGTTTATTCGTCTGTCTGTGTCTGAATTGTGCTGAGATTGTGCGGAAGTGATTTGTGTTTCAAGATTGTGTTATGAAATATTGTCAAATGTTTTTGCTGGATGTTGTATTACTAACTTTCTGTTAAAATGTGCTTCTGTGGGACAGAGGTGTCTCCATTTTGGTTACATGTTGTGTTTCACAGCAGGGGGACTGATTGACCCCCCTTATTTGCATTTTGGGAGTGCTTCAGTTCTGTTAGCACTGATGTCCAGCTGACTTTTTCAGGATTCTTGGATTTTGATGTGAATTACTCTTAGAATTGTGTTTTGTGTTGAGAAGAAAAGTACAAAATAACAGATTTACAGATGTTTTTACTTTCTCAGCGGGTGAAATGTGTTGCATCAGTTCCAGGCTAGAGCACTGGAATGATCCAATTGTTTTTTATAATACTGTAACATTGACAATCACTTCAATTTCTAGGTTTCCTGACAGGATGGAACACCCTCACTGATTGGAACAGGAGAACAAAAATGAGAACATATGGATGTTTTTCTGCTTAACAGTGTTTTCTACACTGTTAATGTTGGACATGTTGAAACACTAATGAATGACTTTGTTTCTTGTAGGACGATCTTCGTGTGCAGCCCATTTCGCATATTACATGACCACGTGAACGGTTTTTGGGTTTTCCTACAGGGGGTCTAGGTAGCCATTTAATAACAGTGGGCTATCATGAAATACGGTTGTGTGTATAATATGGAGTTTTTTAAAAGAAGGGTTCACTCAAAACTGAACAATATTAGAACTGTTGGATAATAATGTCTTTTTATTTTTTTTTTCAACCATGGTGTTATAATGATTGTGTTTAAGACTTTCACAGGACGAATTTTGGTTTGAAATCTGGGGTAACATTCTGCATCTTTCTTACAATGGGGTGTTGATGAGTCTGCTTGAGTGTGAATGAGAGTGAATGTGTAGGCAGATGGCCTTTGATGGGTTTTAGGATGGTCTGTGTAAATATGACCTCAGTTTAGTGTGTAGCTGTGTGATATTTTTCTTATTTTAAACTATTTAGGGACAGTAAAGGTTTTGTTTCATAAATATGTTTTTATTACTGCTTTACGGACAATTTTAAGGTAAAGACGATTACATATTTTGGTGTCACAATCTGGTTAAAGCTGAATCATCTGCTTGTGCAGTGAACTTAATATGAAACGAGAATTCAGCCTTGGCTTAAAGCAGATAAATGTAGTTATTAGGAAATTGTGTTATCCACTTTGACTAACAACACTAACACACTAACCTAAATCCTGACTAAATAAACTTGGTTTATATTTCATATGGGTAACTGATTGGACATGTTGAAATTTTAGCATAATGGGGGAAAGTTCTTCCATTTTTGTTTTTCCACCTCTAAATTGTTTTTCTTTTGGAAATATGAAAACACAGGGGGATGTTATAAAGATAAGATATTACGGATGGAACTTTGAAATTTACATAATCTCAGTCTAGTTTGAATACTAGATGGAAGATTTGGAGAAATGGTGGAACATCTTATAATATTTTGGTTTTTCAGCAAATTATTATATAACAGTGACATAGATTCCAAATTGTTTTCAAAATGATAATTTTATTATATCAACAGGGGGAGAAGGAGAAGTAGACTCTAATTCCTGGTAAATTTTTGGATATGGTTAATGGTAAATTAGTTAATCAATAATTTTGATTTTTTCATTCAACAATAGTGAATTATGAATTTCTTTAATGTAGAGTCATATGGCCTTCCTGCTTTGCTAAAATATGGTGTATGTGATATAAAAGCTTCTACTAAATTAGATTTGATCATC